GGAGGTTTTTCGAAAAAAAAAAGTTTTCTCTCCCTAATTTACAGTTGCAACTGTAAAATTAGTGCAAATTTACAGTTGAAACTGTAAATTAGTGCCAATTTACAGTTGCAACTGTAAATTAGGCGATATTCAGCCAAAAAAGTTTCTTCTGCCTAATTCACAGTTGCAACTGTAAATTATTAGTGCTAATTTACAGTTGCAACTGTAAATTAGGCAAATATTCGTGAAAAAAAAAGTTTTTCAAGGATGGCAGTTCAGACGCGTCGTAGTTTTGTGTTTATGGATTTCAAAATATTTACAATTTTTTACCAGTTGTGAGGTTTTGCAATACGCATACCCACCAATATGATAGACCGATTGCCGCCAGAATCCCATTTTCGAATTTTTGTCACCTGCTGTGAGTTTTAGTAGGCAACATGATGTGAATCATATAGAATGACCAAAAGGTTCTGGAATGTGATTTCAGCGGAACTCTATCAATTCGAGTCACGTGTTGTCTGCATATGGCATGAATATGTGATGCTCTCTCTTATTAAGTGGGAAGTGTACCTAATTGTTGAATGTTGACAAACGAAGTCTCCCCACTTTCAACACTGTCATCTATAATAATATATATATATAGCTAGGTAGGTATATTTTCATTACCTTCTATATAGTTCTGCCTATATATGAAGTGATCCTATCGACAGTGATGGAGGAATAATAGTATAAACTTCAATTCACCAGCTATTATATTATTTTTCGTTCTTCAACATTCCCTCTGATGTATATAATATATGTATCCGATATTTGCTCGCTGATAGGTTAATAAACCTATACCACCTGATGAAGTCATCATATTTCACTAAGAAATTCAAAACAAACAGGTGAGTCACAGAAACTCGTCTAACTTTATCGGAGACTTAGACATTTTTGTCCTCTGTTATGATATGATCATGATGAAAATATCCACCTTTGATATGATTATTAATAATATACAGGGTGTAAATTTGAAAACTTTCAATGCGAATATCTCGCGAAAGAAAAAAGTTAGAAAAACGCCGTTTGGCAAAAATGCTAAAGAGTTAAGGGGAACTAGAACCACCATATTTCGGTCAAGGAATGAGTCACCCCGTCGGCGCGACACACCCCAACTTTGAAATGTCAAATGGCACTACCTTTTTTGTGATGCCTCAAATGAACAGTCTCAGTCAGTAGTATTCACCTGTACAAGATTTTTTTTCCACCCACTACAGGGTGTACGAAAAATATAAAGTCGAATAAAATAAAATGAATTGTGTTAAAAGGATATTTTATTTGATCAGATGTTCAAAATGCATTTCATTTTGTTGTGAGCAATAGTATAATCGATGTTCAAATGCCATTCTAACATTTTGGAACACATCTCTTGGAATATATCGGCATTCTGCATTTTATTTTATTCGACTTCATGTTTTCCGTTCACCCTGTAGTGGGTGGAAAATAAGTCTTGTACAGGTGAATACTACTGACTGAGACCGTTCATTTGAGGTATCACAAAAGAGGTAGTGCCATTTGACATTTCAAAGATGGAGTGTGTCGCGCCGACGGGGTGACTCATCCCTTTACTGAAGTATGGTGGTTCTAGTTCCCCCTAACTCTGTAGCATTTGTGCCAAACGGCGTTTTCCTAACTGTTTTATTTAGCGAGATATCCACATTGAAAGTTTTCAAATGTAGACCCTCAAATTATAATGTTTTTCGTACACCCTGTAGTAGGTGGAAAAAAAGTCTTGTACAGGTGAATACTACTGACTGAGACCGTTCATTTGAGGTATCACCAGGGGCGGACTGGCCCGGAGGGCGGGAGGGCGAAGCCCTCCGCGCCTTTGCCCAGTGGCGCCCTTGCCCCTGGTATACTAAGAATCTAAGAAAGTAAAGAAAGAAAAAACGCGCTGCTATCGCGCCTTACGAAGGCCAGAAAGCAACGTTTTTTATTTCATTTTCGAATGCAGACTTTCTACTCGGAATGACGACATTGTTACTTGGAATTCTGACGTTTTACAATTTCAAAAAATGTCAGCCGTTCCTGAAATATTTTGAAAAAACTTTTCTTAGTCAATATTTGGGAAAAGCTATTGAAATTTTGTATATAAACAGGTGATTGATCATGATGAAGAAGTTGGGATTGTCAGAAATATTTTTCAATATTTTCAGAGATTCAACATGCAAACTACGTTTTTCTTATGGGCGCTATATCTGTTTTTATATACCATTGAATGAAAATAGCGCTAAAGAACAGTGAAAACATTTTCAAATGTGGTAGGCCATGAAAATGAGAAAACATATATTATCAGTCGTCATGACCACAATATCGATACTTCTTAATAACCATGAATAACTTGCTACATTATTACAAAAGGCACAGAAAACCTCAGAATATAAATTTTTCGTTGAATAATCAAGATACTATTTCCTTTAACTATTATTGAAGGTTATCATTCAGTGTAAAACTTGGTCTTGACATAAGTTTTATTCCAGTTATATTTCTATGATTGAATTTGAATTGGTATATAAATCTCTGAAAATAATAGATAGAATATTTCTGAGAATCCCAACTTCTTTACCATCCATGATTAATTACCTGTTCACACAAAATTTCAATATTTTCTCTCTAATATTAATCAAGAGAATAATTAGGAACGAAATCAGTGATTTTTAGTCTTTTCAAAATATTTCAGGAACGGCTGACATTTTTTGAAAGTGCATAACGTTATATTGAATAAGTTCAAATTAAGCAAGGTTTGTCCTATCTAATCAACTTTATATCTCTTACTGTTTGAGAAATAGCAATACTGTGTCTATTAAATCGTTGATGGGACACTGTATATTTCTTTACCACGGAAAGACCTCTCAAAGACCTTTCCAAAGACACATCATTCAATATAATCATCTTCCATATTTTTCAATTCTTGAGTATCTAAGACTAACAGAGTTTGATCGATTTTTGAAATAAAATAATACGAATGATTGCAAATCTGATCAGTAAAAAATAAAATTGTTATCATTGTCATGGCCTATACTCTCAAACACTATTCAAAATCCATGAAACTCTGATGTTTGTTTCGAATCGTTTTAAAAGCCTATATTTGGAGGAATACATGCAGAGGATGAATATATTGAGTAGGTATCCGAGTTGAGAGTCGGATTAAAAAGAAAATGGTACACTTCTACGCCTCTGTATGAACACTCAGACAATCATTTCATGTTGCGCCACAGCCGTCTTCAACTAAAGACGGCTGTGGTTGCGCCCTTTGATCCACAAAGCCCTCTAGCTTTTTTCAACCCAGTCCGCCCCTGGGTATCACAAAAAGAGAGGTAGTGCCATTTGACATTTCAAAGTTGGGGTGTGTTATTGCGCTGACAGGGTGACTCATCCCTTCACTGAAATATGGTGGTTCTAGTTCCCCTTAACTCTTTGCCAAGCGGCGTTTTTCTAACTTTTTTATTTCGCGAGATATTCGCATTGAAAGTTTTCAAATTTACACTCTGTATAGAAGTATTCATTGATAGTAGTACGACCCTAGTAGTACTCATAAGTTATCCGTAGTTAATATCTAACAAGAAGTGAAAAAGGCTGTTGGTATAAGATCCCGGCTACGTAATCCGAAGGTCGCTGGTTCGAACGCGGCGACCGGTCAGTCGGTCACTTCTTTATTTGATTTTAGGTCTGACGGTGTACAGACATCGGTCCGGCCAGCCGTCCGCCAGAGTAGTATGACCTATTGACGTCTGACCGATGTCGTTTGCCGCTCTTTTGCCGCGTCGGCAACTTCTCGCAAGCAGGTTATGATGGGCCGATGTAATAACGACCGAACTTGTTTGCTGGGAGCTCGGCTGGGAGGGATGTTTCTGATCGCTGTGATCGTTGACGATAACTATTGTCGCCACTGTCTTTTGTATAGTCACTGTATATTAATCATTATATGCATTATACCGGGTGACACAGGTTATCGGGCCACCCCTGTAACTTCTGCATTCGTCAACGGATTTTTCTGAAATTCGGTACAGTTATATAAGCAACTATTTCGGATTTGATCACATTACAATCTAATATGGCGGACTTCCGGTTTTTCTGGAAATGCCAGCAATTTTGTTTTTTCAAATGGAACACCCTGTATATTTTTACATATTCAAGTTTAACAGGTCAAAACAAGTGCAATCTCGATGTCTAATGTCATTTATTCCACAGCTTACCTAGTTGAAAAATTATTCTAACTGCAAGGAAATTCATAAACTAGTTGTTGATTTTTGAATGTATACAATTTGTTACTGCACCGAAAAACAAAAATGATATGTCATCTTGTTCCTTAATGTATGTTTTAGAGAGACGGATAGGTGGCCCATAGGGGTTCCATTTGAAAAAAATTAATTTTTGATCAAAAAGTGATGTGGCTGAATTGATTCCTGGATAAGTGACACAAAAAATAATTTTTCGGAAAAAATTATGTTCTTCTGTTATGTGCGACTCATTGTGAATAGTCTTGACCACATCTCATTTATCCACGAGGTGAAATGAAAAAACAATTTTAATTCAAATTTTTTCGAAAAAATGACATTTGAAATAAATATTGCACTTGTTTCGACCTGTTGAACTTGAATATGTAAAAATATACAGGGTGTTTCATTTGAAAAAACAAAGTTGCTGGCATTTCCAGAAATACCGGAAGTCCGCCATATTGGATTGTAATGTGATCAAATCCGAAATAATTGCTTATATAACTGTACCGAATTTCAGAAAAATCCGTTGACGAATGCAGAAGTTACAGGGGTGGCCCGATACCCTGTGTCACCCGGTATATCGGGCTTCTTGGAAATGGTCAATATATACACGAAGAATTCATTAGTCTCAGTTGTCAGCAGACCGAGACCCAAAACACTGCTGATATCCAATCAACCAATCCAAAACACATATTTTCAAAAGACTAGAATAATTTAGCTGGTCAGTGTAGGTATGGGTGGTATTATAAAAAACAAATAAGTTCTGCTCTCTGTATATTTCAGTGTACTTTTTACATTTATTTTGATTCACAAAACACACTAGGCCCAGAAAAACTGATCTGTGTTCCACGACGAGTGACACTGTCTGCTGCAGCTATACACGCCAGTTCTACTGCTTTGGGCACTGCCAAATCGGTCCTGGTTGCCAAGAGGTAAGCTAAGGCACCAATGAAGGCGTCTCCAGCCCCAGTAGAGTCTACGCACCTGAAGGATATTGATAATGAACATTATATGGATTATTTATCATTCCATCAATCCTGCATGAAATCAAACACCTAATTAATATGAAGGAGACCAGTGACCTGAACGCACTACATTTTTTAGATGAAAATCAAAGCATTCAGTGTCTTTCAGACAATATATACATATTAGAAACAATTCTGGTTTTCTAAATGATATTTCAGTGTGAGGTAGAAGACTAATATCTACCTAAACATTCAAAACCTACCTAGGAAAAGAATAAATGTTTTCTTCAATCAATGTTATCATATTTTTTATATTTACTAATATAATATTCTGGTCTCCTCGCTTGTCAACTCGGAAAAAATTCCAAAATATTTGTGTTCTAGAAAGAAATGCTGGTAATAACTGAAGCTCTCAAGATCTCATGGTATTATAGTTGATCCAAAAATCAAGAAACGAAAAATTTCAAAATAGTTTTCTCAAATAGAAGTGATGAAGTCACTAGTGCAAGTACTGAAAAACAGGAGTGGTCAGTATGGATGTGATTCCATACATGAATGCAGATGACAAATTGTAATCCATACAGGTATCTTTATTGAGTGCTGGAGTATTGTGAGAAGGAAATATTCAAGATTTCAAACACTAATACCTTGTACATATAAAGAACATGAGGGTATAGAATGAAAAATTACTCAATGAGTCAAATTGATTTCACTCAAGGAAAGTATCCAAATAACACTGAAAAAATTTGAGGGGTGATTCAGTGATATAATTAAGGTGCGTATTTGATATAAAATTTTATGAAAAACTTCTCCCTGAAAAAATTACATCCCTCCCTGGATCCCTCCAAAGATTTCAAAAAAAGGTTTTTCTTTTTTATTGTCTCTGTATATTGAGCTGAAGACATTGTTAGCTCAATATTGTTTTAGTTGTTAGTCAAAGTTGTAGCCTAGTAGAATCATAATTTGGTTGGCTGTTGTTTAATAAAATGAGCTTGCAATACATTTATGTTACTTTTTTTTCTAGAGTTTTTGAAAAAAACTTGTAGAGATAAAAGAGTTATTAATTGAATTAGGCTTTTCAGCAATGTTTTTTTAAAGAAAAATGTTCATAAGGAAAGCTGTAAGAAGAAATATCTTATGGGTTAACTATTTCAAGGGCTTCTAAACCTACTTCAGGGTTGAAAACATCCTAAAATGTGTAGTTTTATCAACAAATAATGTTTACTAAGTTGTGTGGCTTCAGTTCAATATACAGGAAAAATGAAATAGAAGAACTTCTTTGTCTTTAGAAAGGGTGTAACTTCTCAGAGGTTTTTCAAAAAATGTCATACCAAAACCCACCTCAATTTCCATCACAGAATCATCCCATGAATTTTTTCAGTGTTATTCAGATACATCCTGTATCGAGTCCTGTATAAAGGTTTTTTTGTTTTTATGGACGCCCTTATTTTCATTATGGGCATTCTTAATCCATCAGAGATATGAGAATTTGTGAAATTAATCATTTGTATAAGCTACTTAACCATAAACAAAATATAATGAACTAAAAATCATTTATTACCTCACTGTGGGGCTAGGAGCATAATGAAACTGTTTATCAGTATTGTTGATATAGAGAGCACCCTGTGCACCTAGAGTGATAAGGACACTATTGCAGCCTTTCTTCAATAGTTCTAATGCTGCTTTTTCTGCTTCACTGAAAAAAAAAAAAGCTCAAAATCCATTCCTTTATGTTCACAAAATGTTTATTGGGGAAGAGGAACACAACAGTTGATACCTCTTATTGTTCACTGATAATCCAGTAAAGATAGATGCCTCAGGTTCATTGACACAAAATATTGTTGGTAACCTGAGAAGTTGAGGATCATATTCTGAAACAGCTGGAGCTGCATTCAATATAGAAATCTGCAAACAATTTTATTAGTTGTTATTTACACAAGTTTTTCCATTTGTTTCAGGATTATCTTCTGTAATTAGGAGTTATTATGATTTCTATACCTCACCCCTCTACATAACTGTATAGCTCTGATTGCCACCTCCTGTGAGGTCTCTAATTGTAATACAAGTACTGCTGAACCACTGATGGTTTCCTGAGCATCATCTACATCCTGAATGCCCAACTTAGTATTTGCTCCAGCAACTATAACAATTTGATTCTCCCCTGAATCTGACACAATTATTTGAGCAATTCCAGTGGATATATTATCAGTTAACTTGACATGTTTTGTACCCACATTGGATTGAGCCAAGTTTTCAATGTATTTAGGACCCCACACATCATTTCCCACCTGAAAATAGAATTATAATGATATGAAATCAAGGAACTGTACCAGGTTCCAATTTATAAGTGTGTTTAGATAGCTGAACAAAGAGAGATACAAATATTGAGCCTACCATACACACTCACTTTTGCTACAAGAGCTGTGTTCCCACCAAGTTTAGCAGCAGCTACACATTGATTTGCTCCCTTACCACCAAAATTTGTTGCAAATTCTTTACCATGGATAGTTTCTCCTGCCAGTGGTAATCTAGGTGCATAACTATGAAAGATAAAATTGAACCAATCAATTTGTGGGAGAATAATGTAGATATCACTCATTACCTCACGAAATCTATCATACATGAACCAACAACCACAATATCACTACAATTTGAAGCCATGATTTATTTTCCTATTTTCCTCAACTAAGATGGTGAAGTGCTTATACATATTATGTAAACTCTCATATTTTTTATGCTTTATAGCTACACGTCATGGGATTTTAATGGTTTTATCATTTTATCAGGTTCTTATCTTATCATCTTATAACACCACTGTATGTTGTTTGAAATAATTTAAAAAATTATTCCACCAAATTAGTTGTTTACATAGGTCGCGTGCACGAAGACCGACCCTGGAGGCAAAATATTGAAACACAACCTCATTCTTCTGTGAATTTTTGAAACACAACCTCACTTTTTTATTTGGTTACAGAGGAATCAAAAGGTTGAAATAGTTTTTCACAATATTTTGGCATACGAATCGTGTTTCTTGCGTTATTCATTAATTCAAGCATGCCTTCGCATTGTGCTGTTGTACAATGCACAAAAAATGCAGCAAGAGACTAGGGAATATGATTTTTCAGGTAAATAGTAATCTCACATAGTTAGCATTATGAAATGTTGTCATTCCTTATTAAAATTCCTTCTGCCTTCTGCCACTTCTGCAATACAAGCTAATGCTGCTAATAGATTGAAAATGTCTACAACACACACGTTCGTCAGCATGTCAGACCAGTCCTACCGATTGATTGCATGAATCCAATCTTCTGGCATTATTTTAGAAATTTCAGATGTATTTCTATTAGCTTCTATCGCAGAAAGAATTCCGATGAGAAATCAGAGAAATTACCAAATTTCAAAAATGAAAACTATGTGAGTGACTATAGTAGGTACTTACTTTTGAATCATAATGTACCATCCGGATTTCTTCATCTTCCGCTGCAGTTTTTGTGCATTTTACAGCAGCACAATGTGATGGCATTAGCGAATTGATGAATAGCGGAAAAATACGATTCATATGCCAAAATAATTGTGGAAAACTATTTCGATCACTTGTAAACAAATATGTTTTGCCTCCAGGGTCGGTCATCTGACAGTTCTTGCACGCGACCTATTAGGCAATCCAACGACCTGTCAAATAATTTCAAAATGGCGTCTGGTTGGCAAATAAACCAAAGTCAAGTTTGTTTACTTGAGAACTTCGTGGGTTTTGGAAGCCTCTTACAGTATTATTTCATCGAGTTTCGGCTAGATTTATTGTGAATAATGAAAACTCAGTATGATTTCAAAGAAAAAATTGCCAGTAACGTGAATTGTGGTGGATTGTGGAAGCAGTGCAGATCGGGACCATTTGCTGATTTGTCACATTCCTACTGTAATACTGTGAAAAACTCTGAGCATTACCCACAGATGAAGGATCTATCAAGAAAAATAAGGGAAATGTGGATAGCAGCCATCAAGAGAAAGAATCAGCAACAGAATCAATCATAATAAACCAGAGGATATGTGTCAGACACTATTTTCATAACAGGTACCTAAGAAAAAGGATTTTAATATTATTTATATGTACCTACCTACTCTAGAACTGATGAGTTTAGTGTTTCATCCTATGGAAAACTTATCTTTTTTTCATTTTGATAAAATAAACCAATACTCATTAGTTTTAATGGACCTACATAGTTTGGAAACATCATGTTTCTAATACATAAATGAATCATCTACCTTGTAGGAGAACGTAGTGCCTGAAAGATGAGAATATCCAGCTTGGGTCCCATTGCAATAAAATATGGGTCATCAATCTCTTGTCCATTCGAAATATGCAAGACTGATGTGGATCAAAAACTGAGAGCAGACAAAACGTTCAAATCATGAATCAAGGATCAGAACCGAGAGACCTGGTATGTTCTCAAGAAAACACCTAATTACCTAATACTACTACTACATCATTTTTTATTTATTTTAGTGTAATGAAGAAAGTGTCCTGGGAGATAAAGAAATAGAAGAGAAAATTGGTGAAAACAAGGTGAAAATTCACAAGATTATGAGTACTTTTACAAATTACAGTTTGTTGTGATTTATTTTTATCATTTATAAATGTAAGACAAATAAAGTAAGTATATCAAAATAATTGTGATATTCATTAAATGAAAAATACATTGTATTATTCCACTATATTACAAAAGATCTACATGAGTCATGAAAAAAATCTTCATAGAACATTATAGTTATTCAGTGATCTGATTGAAACAATAATGAACAATGATTGAATGATATATTTATTATGAATAGGTACATATTTTTTTATAGAACATGTTGAATCAGAATTCACAAAACCATGCTGATTCTGGTGTACCTAAAATATTTACACATTCAAAATAGAACCCTTTGTCACTGTCACAATAACTAGTCATAGGGGTTCCATCATCAGCATCACTTGAACACTTACACCAATAGTTCACTTCTGGTGAAATTAATATCTACTCAAAAGTCCAGGTATTATAACTTCAGCATGGAACTTCAAAGCAATTTGTGAATGTTGTTACCAAAAAACATGTTTCTTGGACATTGAATATATAGTAGGGATTTTGTATTAAACCAGTCAGAGCAACTGTACCTATGGCCATTTCTGCTATTGGTATGATGGGCACAATCATGGTGAGAGTGGTGGCATGGGCCACAAAGCACATCAGTACATGAAACTGTTCCTTATTTACTTGCCCAAGCCTCAGTTACTTATTAGCACAGGATCTGATTGTGAATATTTCACCTATAAAAAAATTGTATGAGATATACATGAATATGAGGTAGGAAATATATTTGAAAATATATGAATAACATAATTTCATCATTCAAAATGTTCCTATCATGAAAGTTATTTAGGTATAAAAGTAAAAAGTTACCTTCCCAACTATGACATGAAAATCATTCATCTTCCTGTCTACTTCCTGGACAAAAGTTGCTGAAAAATACTTGTGAACAACGAGGGTTTTGAATGCTCTCATTTGCTCATGAGGGTAGAAACTGTGGGTCACTATAAATAGTAGGAGAGTATAATTATGTGGTAGTCTAATCAGTCAGCAGTTTCAGATGTGAAGGGCTTCAAATCCTTGATCAACATCAGCTTCATCAGATATCTATAAACAAATAATGATTGTATGATAGTTTCAGGAATGAAAATTTACTGGTTAGTTGAGAGAAATAGCCAAAAAAACAATAAATATTCATGTTTACCTCTGACCAACCTCTGGGTTTTCCTGCAATAACTTCTGGAAATATGAACTCAGCATATTGAAGCACTGTTCAATTCAGCTCCGAGACTCCCTCAAACACCTGACACATAAAACTACCAGAATAATAGGGTGATTCGGGCAAAATACAATTTAATTACAAGTGATGTATAATCTTTGTTTGCCAACCAGACGCCATCTTGTCAGCTAAAATGTCACGTGGTTTGGATTGCCTAATTCAATTCATTGCCAAATCATTGAGGTTAGACTATGAACTCAATCTCACCTACGTGAAGTGGGCTGCCAAAGCAAATGAAAAAGCTGGCTGCCAGAATTTCCGAACTTTCCCGATCGACCAGTGGCACACGTTTCCCCTCTTTTTGGGTAGGGAATATCGATATTCCTCAACTGCTTTTGTTTATTCTCTGCCAAGACGAAGGAAAGGTTGCTTTTCATAGTTTGGAATCTTGCAAGCTGATGAAAAAAGCTCAGATTCGTCGATTTTCCTCTTCAGTTTCGCATTCTTTCGACCACTCATATATTTGATGATGTCATCACTCTTCGAGTTATGACTGCATTATAATTTTTTGGCAATTTCCTATTCGGTTTATATCTTCACATTTTCCTATGTTAGAACATCATATTCAATCTATATATATATAATAATTCTTTATGATTATGAGTTCATTCAGATTAATTTGGAATATTCTACAAAAACTCTGACATGGGCGCGTTATTCTTTTTTTTGTTAGTGGGTATAGTTCGCCGGTAGCCTTATCATCCCTCACCAATATGCTACGATCCGTTGAGACAAAAATGAGGCTGAATACACCTCATCTCTGCAAAAGGCCTCCTCTCTCCCCTCACAGCCTTACCCTTCCTCCATTTAGAAATATACCTACCTAGCCTTCCTTAGTAATTCCGCAGTTTTGAAAAATATTCTCTAAATATTGGCGATATTCGATTGACAAACATTATTACTTTTATAGTTGAATCTTCACTGATGGAAAGACAAAAATGAGGCTGAATACCTCATCTCTGCAAAAGGCCTCCTCTCTCCCCTCATACCGCCTTACCCTTCCTCCATTAAAAATTATACCAACCTATAGCCTTCCTAAAGAATTCCGCAGTTCGGAAAATATTCTCTAAATATTGGCGATTTTGAATTGACAAACATTATTACTTTTATAAATGAATCGATCTTCACTGATGGTAAGACAAAAATGAGGCTGAATACCTCATCTTTGCAAAAGGCCTCCTCTCTCCCCTCACAGCCTTATTCTTCCACCATTTTAAAATATACCTACCTAGCCTTCCACAGTTTTGAAAAATATTCTCTAAATATTGGCGATATTCAATAGGCAAACATTATTCCGTAATAAGGATTGCTACATACATTTCAAATAGTGATTTTCCTGCTCACAACAGCTAGTGATATTATTCTGATCTGAACTAACTGAAATATTCCACTAGAACTGAACATAATCAGTCAACATGCGTTCTATCGAAAGATTTCAGTTCCATATAGAATGCATGTTAACTAATTCCGTTATAATAATAAGTTCCAGGCGTAATATATCAATCAACGGTTCCAGTGAAATCATTCGGTTAGTTCAGGATGAAAGAATATCACTACAAGTGGTTATGATAGGGCTAACGGCGAACATTCCACTAAAAAATAAAGGTAAAGAACCCGTGTGCACCGGTAGCTCTGACGTCAGAGCTACCGGTTAGGGCTGAAATTCGAGATTCTATATTCTATAACTTCAATTGTACATAACTTATGTGAAAAATGATAAGCTCTGGCGGCAATACCTCTTGGGTGGGTTTGAAAAGTTGCCATTATCAATAATAGTATCATGATTTAGAATAAATTATTGAAGATATTTGTTCAAGAAAACTGATTATTTTCTGATAGCATGTTTCTAACACATGATTACCTATATCTTCCTGACCAAACAGCAGTTGAGCATTTTTTTGCAAAAGTATCGAAAAAAAAAATTTTTCGAAAAATCTGTTTTTTTTTTCGTGTGGAGTCTATACCAAACGATTTTGCAAGGGACTATCTTCTGATAGCATGATTCTACACATGATTACCTATCTTCCTGACCCAAAAGCAGCTGAGCAGTTTTTTGCAAAAGTATTGAAAAAAAATATTTTCGAAAAATCTGTTTTTTTCGTGTGGAGTCTACCAAATGATTTCGCAAGGAATTATTTCATGAAAGCAGCTGAGCAGTTTTTTGCCAAAGTATCGAAAATAAATTATTTTGGAAATTTTATAGTCTTTCATACCTATGATTTGGCAAGCGAATGATTATTCTATACCTATATGGACTCTATAGAGAATGATTCGAGACCTAAAAGCAGCTGTGGAGTGCTTTCACAATGCTGATTATTGTTTTTTTTTTCAAGTAGGGTACTCAATATCAATTTTGATAATAAATGGATTAGATATTCATCGCCGAGCTTAACTACATCTATGACTACATACATCATCGCAAACAAAAGCAGTTGAGGAATTTCGATATTCCCTACCCAAGAAGGGGGGAAACGTGTGCCACTGGTCGATCGGGAAAGTTCGCAAATTCTGGCAGCCAGCTTTAGCAGCCCACTTCACGTAGGTCTTAACCTCAACTTCCTTTTTTTGTGCTCAGTGCTCAAACAGTTTCTTGTCTCTTGCTCCCTTGCACTCTTGTCTTATGGTATGGAAATGATCAAAATAAGAAGTGAATCTATAAAGAAGAGTTAACAGTGTAGTTAATAACCTAAAAAAGTTTTAACAGGAATTTGAATTTTGAAGAGGAGAATTTGTAAAAAAATTTGAGAACGTGAGGAATATAAAATGGCATACAAAAATAAAAAATCCAAACCCGTTAAACTGACAAGAAAACAACAGCGTAAAGAAAAACGAAATGAAAAGAAAGTTCGCCGTCATGATTATTACACAAACAGAAATAAACCTGGGGCATTTGTGTTGAATCCAGAACAGAAAAATAGTAATTATGTATCTGATAACAGTGTTGAATCAAAAGGGAAACGCAGAGAAAGAGGTCCCACAACTTCAGTCAGTGGTATTCCAGGTGGTAATAATGTTCCAAACAACAATAAGGTATTCTGTAAAACATTTTTTTCATTAGTTGATGTCTGTGGTTGATGTTGAATCTCTTGTTGAATGTTGAAAGGAACTGAACTCATTTTTTTTTAAGTTGCTGACTACTGAGCAAGTCAGGAAAAAAGAACAAAAGGAGCAGAAAAAGCTGGAAAAAGAAATGAAGGACCAAAGGAAGAAACAACTCTTGGAAGCTAATATTGATGAGGACAAAGTTATTAGACAACTAGAAAAACAGTTGGGTTTGAAGAAGAGAAAATCCAAAGCTGTACCCAAATCATTTTCTGAAGATGGTCTAGATTGTAAGTATAGGTCTCTGTATTGGTGTTTTTGAAATAAGTACATACCTAGGTACATATTTATATTCAGCTCATCAATATTATTCAGTCCAAGGAATATTCCCAAAATGTCAATTTTTTTCTAATCCTTCTAATTAATGGGGAATTTCATCTACAACAAAGTGGATAAAAAATCAAGAAAGCCACTTCAAGATGATTTGAATAATTGAATAGTACCTTCCACAGAATAATTTGTACAGAGATAATAATGTCAAAATTGCTACAATCCAGGCTACAATGTACAACTTTGGGTTTGGGTGGAAAAAGGGCCAAAAGGGGTATCTTTCAAAATTTTATTTCCATCTCTATATTTTTTTCATTGGTATAAGTTGAGCAAGATGTCCAGCTATTCTAGGGTTTGAAATATTTGTATTTATTTCAATGTCACCCTATATGGGTGTAATTTAATTCATTGCTAAAAATATATAGGATATGGTTGCTTTGCTCATTCAAAGAAGAATAGTTCATATGGACATATGCCCTAAACTTCTCAACTTTCAAGCTATAGAGTGTTGAACTTTTATTTTCCCTTCATTATATTGATTGAAGAAGCTTTCAAAATGTGAAAAAATACTTGTCAAAATAAGGCAGCAATGAAATCAATCAATTGTCATTATTTCAAATATGAAATAGAGCACTCTAGACTTTACTAGTTCAAAATAAGGTACAAGAAAATGGAATTAACCTGAATAAAAAAAATACAATGAGCCTTCAATCAAGAAAATGAAAATTTCATGTTGGTAACCTCACTTTTTGAAATGGTGAAAAAATTTTGAAAATTTTCAGCTAATGGAATATGGATGAGTTTCCTCATGTAATAATACATTATTTGCATGGATTCAAGGACAAGGAGGAATATATTCATGTTCTTATTTGTAATCCAATGGCAAATAAATTAGTATCATTAGATTCGTCAAAATATCCTTTTTTCGGAAAGTGCTTGTCAAAAAATGGTCGCCATTTGAAAAATAATAGTTAGACACGAAAATGTATCTGATATCACCTTAGATTAGTTTACTTCCGATCATGGCCACCTAGATGTAATTTCAAAAATGACTCCGAAAAAATCAAGTAGGCATGAAAACTTTCGAAAATGTCACATTCTGATCTAGAATTGGCTCAGAAATCCAAAAATGTTACAATATACAGGGTGTTCCGATAAAAAATTTAGAACCAGAGCCGTTTCCGGTGAAACAGGAAGTGACCGGGAAGTGAAAAATATGTGAAAACTCTCCTCTTCACATACCATTTACCTATACCAAATCTCATTTTGATACACCTAATGGTCTAGAAGTTATGACCTGTCTAATAGATTCGTTGACACCCGGTATAGCTCTGAAGTTGAAAGGTTAGGACATATGAACTTGTCCTCTTAAAATAAGCATAGGAACCATATTTTATCCTATATTCCCAGTCATCAATTAAATTACAACCTGTATTCGTTTTTAAAGTAGTGGATTATGTAAGCTTGGTAGGTTAAAAAAATTTAATTGTTCACATTTTTTAGATTTATTAGAAGTCTGTGATTCTGAAAGAATGAAAAATTCAATAAATACAGAACAAGATTTCATGGCAGCCAATGATGTGTTTGAGGAAGATTTTGCCTTAATGTCTAATAAACAAACTCTAATGGATGAAAATGATGAGGACAATAGCGAGGACAATAGTTTAAAACAATCTGATGAGGAGTATGAACAATTTTCTGATGAAGAAAGCAATTCAGATTATGCAACTGAGGATGAATCAATGGAGGATGACAATGGGAAAAATATTTCAGATTCTGAAGATGGTTTGAACAGTTCAATAGAGAGTGATGAAAATGTACATGGAAAATCAAGGAAAAATATAAAATCTCTGGAATCACAAAATGAGAGGAAGAAAGATAAAACTGTTGATGAGAGGCAGTCATTTAAAAATGCTCAATCCAATAAGAGAAAACTTGAAGAGCAAAGTACAAGTAATAAAAAGATCAAAACTCTCAAAATTGCTGAAAATGAAGAACTGAGTGGAAATGATGACAGTTCCAGTAATGAGCAAAGTGAAGATGATGGAGATACCAGAGCTGATGAGATAAATGATAATAAGAAAGGAGCAGTGAAATCTTTTCCAGATGGAACATGGGAGGACATCTATGGAAGAAAAAGAGCTAAAGATGGATCAATTATAACAAAAGTTGGTCAGATTTTTTTTTGTCTTGTGATGTGCAGTTTCTATGAAGAAGCTTACATCTTCATTGACTCCAATTAGTTTTCTCACTATGTATTTTTCATTTTAGAAGAATGAGTCAAAGTATATTCCACCTGCAATGAGAGTTGAACTTGAAAGAGGAAATGTGGAAGACAAAAAGCGTTTTGAGAAATTGAATAGATTGAAAAAGCAATTGAAAGGTAAATTGTTATGCAAAATAAATAGTTGTTTGTGTTTAATTAATTGCCCCTCAATTTCCATGTGGAAGGGCAGGATTTTAAATTTACTGAGATTTACCAATGTTATCAGTTCTCAAAATTATCAATCATTATTATCTTTCAAAACCTTTCTGCAGTACCTATATGTAAAACACTAAAAGATCCAAGGATGTCCATTTGATATTCATTTTGAAATCTGTAAATAATATCAGTTGACTTTTATTTATCCAATTCCGCCACCCCTATCAATTATTGGCAGCTCCTGGAAGGAAATTTTTATTTTTGTTTTTTGATGAAAAAAAAATAGTTACAACTCTGAACTAGGCAATTTCAATTAGGCCCTCCGCACACGGGTCGATCGGCGATATGAGCGACGCGATTGCAATGACGTCACAATTTCTGCATTCGTACGATTCAAGAGACGGGAGTGTGTGTCATCCGCATATGGGTCGACGTTTTGTGTAGTCGACTTGCGTCTGATCATCTTAGTTACTCTATTTTTTGCAACTTCAAAAAGAAATGTTTCGCTAAAAATGAGCAGTTCCAATGGCGAGGAGGACATATTCATGTTTTTGTGGCACCGGCAGATCAGGAGAAGAAGAAGACAACGAAGTTTATGGGTGCATCCGTACATCGCACGAAATTTTCACACTCGACTTTTTGTTACTGCAAGTGAAATGCAAGAGAGTGACACAAAATTTCTGTCATTTTATAGAATGTCCAAGGAATCATATATTGATTTAGTAAAAACTCTTGCTCCAGCCATAAATTATATGGATTCAAATATGAGGGAATGTGTCAGCGCAGAAGAACACATACTAATAACATTGATGTAAGATTCATATATTTCCAAAAATCAAACAGTTCCTAAAGTTGAGAGTATAAATTGGAAACATAAGATTATATGTTCTAGTTACTGAAAGTAAAGAACTAAGGTAGGTAACACAAATATTCACAATGATTGAAAAATTATTGAACAACTTTCTCCATTGAGACGCAAGATTCACTCGATCAAACTGCTTCCTTGCTAATCGCGTGAGACTGAAAACGAGATCTTGAATCGTACGTTTCTAGACGACCACTAAACGACCCGTGTGCGGGATCCAGATGATTTGCTTAGGAAGTCGAGTAGAGGGGAGACCGTCGTACGATTCGAATCGCGTCGCCCATGTCGCCGATCGACCCGTGTGCGGAGGGGAGGGCCTTAGTAATGGACTTATGTTGAAAAAATCCCTTACTACATCATCAGTTTGTAAATATTTTTGGAATGGTGGAACATTATGAAAATTGGTATAAAAATGATATAAACTTTTCTTGCTTGAGAGTACAAAATACGAGATGGGTTGTATCCATGTTAAACTGAGTGAAGAAAATTCAGGGTTCATTAGTATATATTCTGGTCCAATGATGCCAGTTGAAGTGAGATATTTAGTCTTGCAAAAAAAATATTTTTTTTATTTATGATGGGTTTATAATTCAACAAAACTTATAACAATTAAACTAACAATTTGAATACAAGGAAACTTCTATGAGGATTTATTTATACATTTTCATCTGTCATTCAAATCAAGAAATAAGAATTTTGAAGTTGGCCAACTTTCAACTTTACAACTAATAGAATTAAGAAATTCTGGAGACAGAAAATGATGATTGGATTTGTTATTCTTCAGGTGGAATTTGGTGATATTTAATTGGAACATTTTTATGGATTCATGAATTGTGGAGACCAAAATCACTTTTTAACATCATTTTGATCTTTAATCAAATACATTTCACATTTAATTCTTAATTAATATCCGAGGGGTAAACCGCTGTCAAAATTGTGTACACCAAACTTCAATTTTAAAAGGAATTCCAAGGAATTTCAAGGAATTCCAGTTGTTTGTACCGGGTGATTCATTAAGGGTAGCGAGGTACCATATCTCAGGAACTAGTCGTACGAGGTTGAGAAAAAAATTCTATCGAGGAAATCGACCAAGGGAAATTGCTGGAAATAGTTTTTTAGTTTGTATATCTACCGCTGGAGGGCGTAATTGCTATGGTCGTATAAAAAATTGATTTTTCCAGCGAATTCTTCAACATGAGCTGAGGAACAGAAGCTATCACGCTGATGCTGTAAAAATAGTGCATCTTTTTATTCCTACACTTCTTTTCGTACGATGTGAAATAATGGCGGCAGACGAGGTTGAACCTTTCCTGACTAAAATACCTATACCTTTAATTTGACTGAACGGAATTCAGCAAACTTGGTCTCGTTCGAGAGAGTAATGTTTGTTGATTGAATTGAAGGAACACCAGTGTCATGCTGGTTCCAGTTGCACTCACTAGGGGGCCTAATTAAATCATTTCTGAATTTTTTGATTTTACCCCAAAATCTTAAATGGAATGATATAATTATTTTATCAGTTTTGGAAAGTGAATAAAATTTGCAAGAAATTGATTCAAACCGCATGTTGATATCTTCATTCGTTCCAAAGTTATCTCCTAGAGAATATTCATTGATGAATTTATTGAAGGAATAATTAATTTTTCTATTAGCATTCAAAGTTCAAGCAAAGAATATAAATTGCTACTCCGAACAAATGATTTCGTTTATCTGTCACAAACAAATTGAACAAATCATGAGAACTGGTCGTTTCCAAGGAAATTTAAAAAATAGAAGAATGAATTGTTTCTTCAATAAATTCATTAATAAATATTCTTTAGACGATAACTTTGAAACGAATGAAGATATCAACATGCGGTTTGAATTAATTTCTCGCAAATTTCATTCACTTTCCGAAACTGATGAAATAATTATATCATTCCATTTAAAATTTTGGGGTAAAATCAAAAAATTCAGAAATGTTTTAATTAGGCCCCCTAGTGAGTGCAGCTGGAACCAGCATGACACTGGTGTTCCTTCAATTCAATCAACAAACATTACTCTCTCGAACGAGACCAAGTTTGCTGAATTCCGTTCAGTCAAATTAAAGGTATAGGTATTTTAGTCAGGAAAGGTTCAACCTCGTCAACCGCCCTTATTTCACATCGTACGAAAAGAAGTGTAGGAACAAAAAGATGCACTATTTTTACAGCATTAGCGTGATAGCTTCTGTTCCTCAGCTCATGTTGGAAAATTCGCTGGAAAAATCAATTTTTTATACGACCATAGCAATTACGCCCTCTAGCGGTAGATATAGAAACTAAAAAACTATTTCCAGCAATTTCCCTTGGTCGATTTCCTCGATAGAATTTTTTTCTCAACCTCGTACGACTTCTAGTTCCTGAGATATGGTACCTCGCTACCCTTAATGAATCACCCGGTACATCAGAATGATACCGCACTTCACACAAGGAATTCCAAGAAACTCCAAGGAATCCCAGGAAATCCAAGAAATTCCAAGGAATGGGCTTATATCACGAAAAATTTTTATTTCATAATTTGATAGAACTCACCCAAACTAGCTCACCACCGCAAACCCTTTCTTGCTGTGAGCTCCCTACGTTTTATAAAAAATTATTGAAATCCCTGATTTTTCGGACCTCTGAAAACGAGGCGATGATGTGACGTCGAAACCCTAATACTGAAACAAGACTATTCCAGACAGAGATGAATGATACATGATTTCTGACAGAGTGAATTAGCGCGAGATCGCAGTTGAAAGAATTAAAATATCAGTTGCCTCAGTCTCCGTCGGGAGTTTGGTATTTTCTTTTAACTATGGCGAGATGAGGTTTCTACGTCATGAGAGGGTCCGTTTTTAGAAGGTACTATTATTTATGTCCAAAAATATAATATTACAGTTAATTTTTCGATCGAATTATGTTGTCAAGCATTATTTATGTATAAAAAGGATCATTATAAACAGGGTTTGAGTTAAAAGTTCTACCGAGGTGTGCACGCCCATTCCAAGGGAATCTAAGGAATTCCAGTTGTTTGTACACCAGAATTATACCGCACTTCACACAAGGAATTCCCAGGTAATCCAGGAATTCCAAGAAATTTCAAGGGAATCTAAGGAATTCCAGTTGTTTCTGAAGTGGCAACACTGTATCGATGAAAATATTTCAGACGGATAGAGAATGTTCAATTATCAAAGCATTTCAATTTTCAGAATGTTATGTCTTTTCGTTCTCCAGATACTTCTGATAGGCCATCCACCGTGGATCACCCTGTATCTAATAATAATAATAAACGGCTTTATCATTTTCAGTACTGTACAATATTGACATACATTTTCATAAGTAGATAATATGGACTGGAATTACTGGAAATAAAAGGCGAAGTTCAACTCATATAGTAGGTAAACCTACTATTGCCTTGTTCTTCCACTCAACCTTCAAAAATCTCAAAAATCAGATTGGAGTTAACTTAAGCAACATCCTTTTGATATTATTAGATTTTTTCACTGAGGAGGGTCTTAGAAATTGTTCAGATCTGAATTGAATTTTGACAATTTTAGGGATTTCATATGGGTAGGAATATAGTTATTGTATACATTGCAAATTTGGTAACTGAACGAGCGTTTGAAAAATTCAGTTTTGAATTGAGGCGGCGTTAGAAGTCCTTTGAACCGTACATTGATTTTGTGTACATCAGTTCTGAATTTCAATTCATTATACAGTTGCCTTCTATTTTCCATGTTCAACCAGCCAGATTCTTTAAGTTTATAAGATATTCTTTCTCGTTTTCTTATACCATGTATCAGACGCAGACAAGATTTTTGTACTTTCTGTATTTTTTGTTTGAATTGACTGGTTAAATTCGGTCCATAAAGGCAATCCGCATAGTTGAACAGGGACAAAACTAAGCTATCGCATATTCTTATTTTGAGTTTCACAGATAGCAAATGTTTGGACAAGTTTATTAATGAATCTCTCAAATCTGAGCTTACTGTCGATAATATCACCAAGACTCTTTGCTTCATCTAAAATATCACGTTTAACAACAACAATTATCTATTTCTCCATTAAGGTCTATTGAATAGACTAGCAGAGAGGAACATGCACAGCATTGCAACCCAAATAGAAGAGCTCTACATGAACAACAGTCGCAATGACATGAACGATACTTTGACCAATCTCATAATGGAATCGCTTGTTTCTGAAGTTTTGACGCCTGAACGCCTGTTGATAGAGCACGTTGTACTGCTGACCATTTTACATGCCAATGTAGGAACAGAAGTTGGTGAGTATAAGAACAATAACATATTATCTGTAGGTTTATCGAGGGCATTTACCATTACCCCTGCATTGTCACTTTCCCAGACTTGCCTGCACTAAGTCGGACTTCTCTTGGTAGTTCAATGTTTGCTGGGAAATGTCAAATATCTGAGATATGACCTCGTAATTTTCTTTTCTGGACACCATATTGGATTTTTCCAGATTTGAAATCAGCCTCAAATTCCGCATTCCTTTAAAATATCACTAATAGATTCTATTTGAATGTAGAAGTCGTTTTTTCATACAATCAATAGTTTTCGATTCGAGATATTCGAGAAAAAGCAGAATACACAATTTCAGTTTTTCTTGATTAACTCAAAAATGACTAATGATAAACCAAATTTCTTGACGGATTTTGAATTTTGAATTTGCTCGAACTTTCGTAATTTAACCGACTCTCTATCTGTCATAGTTACCAAGATCCCAATGGTGAGGATCCAATTTATTGGGACACTTTGTATATTCCGTGTTACCGAAATTGGAGCGATAAATAGAATATGGTTTTGTATATGGACATATATTATGAGGACATAATAAATTTCAAGAAAAAAGGTTCTGATTTTTTTAAAACTTCCGTTTTGTCATACTACTTTTCAAAATATCATGAAAAATCTGGCAACATTGCAAGAGGTCATTGATACTTGCAGTGCTTCTAACTTCGTCGATATCAAACGCTTGGGTTCGGCTGTTAATATAATCAATGTATAGAAAAATCTTTTATTACTCACTTCATTTATCACTTCAATTTTGGAAATATCATGTGAGTTTTCACTTTCAAATTTGTTTTATGACTGAATTTGATATATTATTATTTTTGAATAGGTGTAAGATTTTTCCCCATTTTATTTGATGATTTTTTCTAAAGGAGCACATTTTTTGCAACATGTGATCAGGCAATTCGACCAATGTCTGAGTGCAAATGAAGAAGTTGAAAACAAAACTTTGGACAATATAGTTCGTATAGTAGCACAGCTTTACAATTTCAAACTGTTCGACTCCAAACTGATATATGAAATGTTGAGAAAGTTGGCATCAAAATTCGAGGAAAAAGATGTCGAGTGTATTTTACATATATTAAGGAATGTTGGGTTTGGTCTAAGAAAGGATGACCCCCTAGCATTGAAAAATTTGATTATGGAACTTCAAAACCAAGCTGCTAATGTCACTGATGAAGAAAGGGATAAGTGAGTAATATCTAATCTAAATGTTCTTCGTTTGTTTTTCTAACAAACATATTTCAAAGCTTCATTTTTCAGCTCAACATCAGAACACTTCATAATTCTTTTTAGTGTTGTGTCGATTCATATATTTTTTTCCACTATATACTAACCTTAGAACACACCACACACACCACACGGCATATTGAACAAGATTTTCCCAAACCAGTCGACCAGCACAAAGTTCAACAGAAATACACGATAGATGATCAAATATTCAACCTGTACAACTGTTCCTCCTCTTGCAGCTGTTTGCCTTGATCACAATTTTTTGTCTCTGAATCTAGCGTTTTCAGGATAGGTCAATGTGATATTTTAACTCGATTTGTTACGTCTCGGAAATCTATTGTTTTTCACATTGTTTGAGCGTTTTTCTTTTTTTTTTTAGATAATGAACAAGTCAGAAATCTAGCGTTTTTCACATTGTTGATGCAATTTTTTGAAGATATTTTGATCATGTGAATCTGTGACAAGAATGACAATTGCATAAAGCCAAAATAGGATTATCCGAAATATCACTAAATAATCACTACATTTCATTCACAACAATTAGCAACACTGTTTACCTGTTTGGTATATCAGTCGGATCGTGACATTAGCACAGGCATTAGTAAGGTAGATATATCCAGAATAGAAATAAGATACATCAATATGTCAGGTTACTAGCTCTAAACTAACCTAATGGCTATAAAAAAATAATACTGAGTAAATACAGAGTAGACAGGGGTTAATACATGAATTTACAATGAGAACTAACAAACATGAAAGACTAAAATTACGAGTTATTAGCTGTCAATTAACAGTATCATTCAGTTCTGGACATTGGGGCAGCTATATGCATTCCTCCATTGTATAGAATATGTGCAAGATCAGATAAGATCACATGTGATTTTTGAAACTGTTGAAGTCCAATTTCTTTACAAAGGAAGAGAATTTTTGTTGGATTTTTGCAGTCTGAATTTAACAGGTCCTACTAATTGCTTGCCCCTAGTATTGTAATCATAGACGTCAGCATTAATTTCATATTTATTTTTGTTCATATGGACCTAAAGGATTACTGAAATGTATAAATCGAGGGAACCGTCATGACTCTTAGAGTTATAGCGAATGGGCTTATATCCCAAAAAAATTTTATTTCATAATTCGATAGAGCTCACCCAAACTAGCTCACCACAGAAAACCGTTTCTTGCTGTGAGCTCCCTACGTTTTATAAAAAATTATTGAAATCCCCGATTTTTCGGACCTCTGAAAACGAGGCGATGATGTGACGTCAAACCCCTAATACTGAAACAAGACTATTCCAGACAGAGATGAATGATACATGATTTCTGACAGAGTGAATTAGCGCGAGATCACAGTTGAAAGAATATTTTGGTATTTTCTTTTAACTATGTCGAGATGAGGTTTCTACGTCATGAGAGGGTCCGTTTTCAGAAGGTACTATTATTTATGTCAAAAATAAAACATTCCAGTAACGTTTTCGATCGAATTATGTCGTCAATCATTATTTATGCATAAAAGGATCATTATAAACCTGGTTTGAGTTAAAAGTTCTACTGAGGTGTACACGCCCATTGCATTGACATATCTGAGGTGAAGCAGTGTCGAGCGCGGTTAGTACTTGGATGTAGTGAAATAGCATATCACAGCTACAGCTACCATATCAATGAGCCCAAGATATGGTACGGATATGCCGTCCTTCGGAGGGGACGTTAAGCCGGCGGTCCCGAGGCCATGGATGTTGGACTCGTTAAAGATCCCTACCAGAGGATTCGGCAAAAATTTCTGGTTAGGGGTAGTGTGCTCACCGGCGTCGGTGATTAGGTTCAGTAGCAGAAAATGGCCGACGTTAATGAAACAAGGAGAAGAAAAATTGGCAGGAACTAGTGGAGTGTTTCTGCACTCGATGTATATGTTTCCTTCTCACTAGCATGTGTTGAATAGAGGTGAATATACACTCCTGTCAATGAAATTCGCTGTTAGAAAATGAAATCTACAAGACTCAACATAACCTATACCCGCTATGAATCTTATTGCCTTTTTGTAATATAAAGACATCCTTGGCGTGCCCACTGTTTCCCCAGAGTATTGCCTCTGTGAAAGAAAAAAGCATAAAATGCTGAGGATAGGGCATATAGAGCAAAATCCCATGAACGCCAGACCTTCGTTATTTCATGAAAGCTGAAAGTTTCTCAGCGCATGCTCCTTAATTCCAAGGGTATTTTTCTTATGTTTGTTTGGGATAATATTAGGAACCAAGGTGCCTACCCCTTGTCAGACACCCTTAAACCTTGATAAATAATTGTAACTCGTAACTCAACTTTCGTCAAAGTATAAAAGCTGTATTTCATACATGTTACTTGGGTAACAGCTAGAAGATGTTTCCTCAGTAGCCAGACCATTCTGGGGGTGCTAACCTCTAGTCAGACAGACATACAGTGCTTTCGTAATTTCTGCATCGCTGTTTGCTCCCTTTAACCTCCCAAAGCCACCATGACCTAAGCTTCATATATTTCCTCATCGTTCTTACCTGTGGTGGAAGCATGCACTGAGAACATTTCAGCCTCGATTTCAGCTTATATAAAATAACAGCAGCTCTGTGTGGGTTAACTTATTTAGTTTGTCATCAAGAATGATGCCTAGCAGGTTCGCGATTTTACAAAATATACTGTACGCTAGCACATACCACGCCCACCGTAATATCTCATCTTCGAAGTACTTAGGCAAAACTCAGAGACTATTTATCCTTAACGAACTAACCTATCCCTGATTGCAATATTTTTGAGGAAGGAAAACCGAATGGAGTGTAGAAACACATTGATTAATAATATATTTCAAAAGTTGAGTTCTTCAACAAAATTGAATAAAATGAGACTGTTTACCCTAAACGCACTAACCTATTTGACTTCAAATATTTTATGAAAAAGGAAAACCAGAATGAACTAAAAAAACAATGGTGAAAAAAAAAGTTGCAAAAAAAGTTCAAGTTCACAGCGATTCGAACCATGGACCTTCAGACTGAAAGTCGACAGCGCTAACCAGTAGACCATTTGGGTATATGAATTTACTGCGTACAAGAGATTGACAACGAGAGAGCTTCAGTCGAATTCGTGTCAAAATCATAAAGTGTATTCTTGCGTTGGAGCACAGTAGGGTCCCTTGATGGAAATTGACATTAAAGTCATCTTAACAGGGTACGGACAGATCCTCGTCTCCTCTCACTCTAAAGTGTTTGTGAAACAGTTATATAGTTCCATCCTTATTCAATTCTGGGGATAAACACTAGATTTTTGACATTCGTTGTTTTTTAGGTTATATTGAGGTCACTGGCGTATCATACGTAATTTCCATATGGAATTCCTGATTCAATACTCAATGACTATACCAAGATATAGATAAACAATCCTCTAGTCTTAGAGTCTACTACTCCAGCATAATCTTTGCGAGGTAGGAATCATATAAATTGTACTGAAAGCTTAATATATTTCAGCAAAAGAGACTGTTCTTAGACTGTAAATCAGGGTTGACTGATTGACTTAATGAATTCTGACTTCAAGCTGAGCAGAAGTTTATCTATGAGCTGAGCCTTATGATTGAGAAATGGTGGAAACCTCGATGTGGGTATCTGAAATACTGTATTCATGTCATGTGTGCTAAATATATTTTCAGAAATACAATTCTGAGAAGAATTTCTGGAGTGACTAATATGACACTATGTATAATACTTCATATGGGACGAAAATTAGGCTCAAGGCTGATGAAAAGTAATACGTAAAATGTGCAGGAAAATAAATGATACAATATACTTAACCCCAATGTTATACATATGATTTTTCCATCTCCCCTGAATAAAAAGTCATTTTCGAATAATTTATTGATGAAAGTAACAGATAAGTAGGTATACGCTGTATAACTTACAGACACGTCATTTTCACTCTTGCATCCTACATATTTTGTATTTGTGGTAGAGTAATAATTATATAAACTAATGTATTTCGCTATATCGGATCCGTCTTCTTGAATTTTCGAATTTTGACGAAACAATCATTAACTCCTGCCCCGAAAACCCCCAGATACCTATCTTAAATAGATGCAGATCATAATTAGGAATTTATTTCGCTCTATATTGGATCCGCCATCTTGAATTTTACAAGTTTGACGAAACAATCATTATCTCCAACCCCGGAAAACCCCAGATACCTTCTAGTTTTGAATAAAATCGGATCATAATTACAAAACTCGTTCGCCATCTGATCTTCCTCAACAAGTAAATACTTGTAAATACCCTGTACATACCTATTATTAAAATTTTGAATGATTTTTGTAGCGCCCATGATTAGGACGTGACAGCAATGTCAGGGATGCCAGTAGACAAAACTAAAGTATCTAGATCATTAAAAAAGAATGCAGCTATGATCTGTCCGTACCCTGTTAAGGTGACTTTTACGTCAATTTCCATCAAGGGACCCTAGAGCACAGTATATTTAGTGCGATGTGCTGACTATATCGGTAATGTTTGGAGATATGACGTATTATGGTGGGCGTGGTTTGTGCTAGCGTGCAGTATATTTAGTAAAATCGCAGCAGGTTCACACTATTTTGCCATTAGCTTACTGAGTATTAAAGGAGAATACGATATGTGTTTTATTCTTGTTCAGTTTTAGGCTGTTCACTCTGAACCACAGATTAACAAACCTTAACCTCACTCCTCTAGTTATTCAATAAGTAAATAGTGTATTACACAATCAAACACTTTTGACAAGTTACATAGAGCAGCTGCAGTGTGTTCACCACGGTTCACCCTTTTCAAATCCTTCAATGATTTGATCAACTATTCTCTTCAACTCGGGTATGGCACTTCCTAAATCCACCTTTTCCAAAGATTAGGAGAATTTTTGTTACCTTGAAATCATCGGCGAAACGTCCTTCCTCAATACAGGTGTAAAAAAGTATACTTAGAGGCACACTTAAAAACATTGCCTTTTCTTTGATCATTTTACTATTGAGATTGTAAAACTCCAGTGAGTTTGAATTCTTCAGACCTAGCATTGCACTTGAGACCTCTCCAATTGGTTCCATAACAAAAGACCCTGTGAGTTTTTATTTTTCTATCTTAGAGAGTGGAGTTAGAACTAAATGTAGATTGCGATAATTCAATCGTTATAGTCTCATCACCCACCGTTGAGAAATACAAGTTGGAGCCATACAAATTCTTGCAAATTTCGAAATGTTCACCTTTACAATGGACTGAGCACTCAGCAGTTACGAGCTCCAAGCGTTAAAAAAAAAGTAGTCCAGTTGGATACTTGATTATATGCATCGCGTGAATCTGTTAAATTTTGAGCTGGTCGACTGGTTCGGAGACATCTCGTTTTTCTTTACAGTAAAAGCATGGACTCTTACAGTTTTGGACATTTGTCACGTATTCATCTACACCCCGTATAAACAACGGTACAGTAGACAATGTTTGTCTCGTTACCGTATTTTCCTCGATGCTGAGACATCTCCGGAACTGTTCCAGCTTATTAGCTTTGAAAAATGACTTCTCTGTACTTTAAGTTCTTCATGGTTATTATATTCTTATGTTTTGTGTAACATGCATGAGTAATATTATATTTGTGTGTTCTATTAATGACAATAAAATGTTATGTCCTCTTATTGATGACACACATTCATAAACCCCATTATATACATAATATTTTATTCAGTTCTAGAGTGAAATTCATGCTGGACATTCTGTTAGCGATTAAAAATAATAATGTAACAAAAATACCAAATTATGACACGTCTTATTCCGAACATCTTAAAAAAGTTATGAAGGGATTCATCAGGAAAGGAAATTACGTATCACAGTTGAATATCTCCATAGAAGATCTTCTCAAAGGTGAGTATGTTCTGTTCGAATTTGCCGCAAATAATGCGAAACATTATTGGAAATCCGATGCGGAGTTGATCTTAGTGATAAATTTATATTGATATCCAGGATAAATAGTGTAATACAACAATAAGGGTATTGATGATTATCGAAATATAAATCCCTTTGATTTTGAGAAACAAATTATGTTGCTTGGCAGCCACACGAGCGCATCATAGCGCGAAAATATGATGACAGTCATGTCCATGTATCACTGTTTTCTATGTCATTTTGTTTTATATTATTACGAAATACAAAATTGAAAACACAGCCATGTAGGTATCCAATAGCCAACAACAGCCGAAATACGAAAACGAAAACATCATGATATTTCAACCAATCAAAAACGTGTATCTGCTTGAAACATCAGTGACACAATGTAGCCATGTTTTACGCTGAATCACTTTTGGTGTGATTTAATAAATGCTAACGTCTGGTACACTGGTATATATGGCCAGCGTAGCCAGGGTTCGATTCCCACCACGACCGCAGAAATTTTTCTGATGGCCTAAAAAAGTGTTCAATTAGGCTACAATTTTTTTACGGTATTTTGCCGGTGATTGTATACAGGGTGGCATTGAAATAAGTGCAAATATGTAAACACTCAAAAAGCTCGGCGTGTACTATCGAATGTCACTAATAAAAAAATTAGGGATCAAAATAAAATACGAGGTTAGACTCCTTTTTCCACCCAAAGTTCTACACTGTAGCAAATCTGACGTCACCCCTGTTCAAATTTCCATGCGGCAGGCACAATCATTTAAATTGTTTTGAAGTGGCATACTTGATTTTTGTCTCGCACTTTGTTCAATTTTTGGTATGAAATTTCTCGTTATATAATTAAAAGAATTAGAAAAAATCTGATATCATGGGAATATTCCTTAGACTGTATCATATTTATGTGCTGAATATGTGCACTGATTTCAGAAACACCTTGTATATTGAAAACATAAGTGTGAATATCAAGAATAAGAGCTTTGAAAAATAATTTCACTAGCCCGTTGAAAGCTTATTAATCCAGTGGTGAAGTGAAAATTTCACAAAAAAGTCGCAAATGAAATTTTGTCGTTTACGACATGCCCTGTAAGCCGATATTATGGTTTTCAAATATTTGCTTGCGTAAACTCTGACGTTCTTTCTGCTGAAAAGTCAATTTTCAAGCTTGAAATTTCAAAATATTGTGTTTATGAGTTTACTCCGACCTTGAATGCGTCGCCCTAGAAAAATATGGTAGTATCTGGACCATGGGTTGAAGTTTTCATCGGTTGATTTTTTCCTCCCTTCATTCTCAAATATATGTTAATTCAAACATCTAGAATGTAGATTGAACTTTGTTCCAGAAGGATTTTCAATTGTAGTAATTAAACAAGGTTCTAACTGACAAATGTACAATAAAATACATCGATTTTTCATAAAATAATACGAGAAAACTAATTCGAATTGTTCTAAGTGCCATCAGATTCACTTCTGAATCAATATGTATATCAGTATAAAGTATATGTGTTGCGGCACGTAGATTTGTTCAGAAGTATATTTCGAATTATCGAAGTGGAGAAGTACAAAATGACTGATTGAACTTGGATCTTTCAGGAATGCAGTGAAATAGTTTCTGTCAGTCTCGTTCATGCAGCTTTCATTTTTTTATATTTATTTTCCTCCTTTGGTTAATATATACAGAGGGTCATTTTCAACCTATATTCTTCCTCTTGTTAGCATTTTCCAGAAATCTCGGTTATTCCATATAGATGCTGGCGAGCATTGTTATCACTGAAGTTGTTCCCCCAATGTCTTCGAGTGTATCATTGGCATCTCTCTCATAGTTGCAAATTTATGAATCCAACCGCAATGATTATTGCGGATGATACGGAGATGTAACCATGAAAAATGTGACACGCTGAATATATAGTTGCGAAGTTGTGGAAGAAAAAGGTGGAGTTATATATATTTGAGATTAGAACGTCTGGGACTGTGTATCTGACTGTGCCAAAATAAACGGGGTGTTCCATGAGAAAAAATATAATTGGATGCCGTATCTTTTTGATCTCACCCTGTATAAAATTTCTAATGGTGCCAATGGATTGTTCGCATCATACTATATGAATGAACTTCCGAAAATTTCCAATATTCCTCACCATAAAGCACTCAGAAAATAAAAACGAAATCAGCTATTTTTCAATTTCCCCCTGTATCTCTGAAACGAATGAAGATATCAAAATTCCGAATGCACCATTATAGGTTTCTTCAAAATCGAACCCGTAACATGTATATCGGTTTTTCGATAACTCTTTTAGTTATTGAGATAGCCTTTGAAAACGCCCAATTTTGCCCACCCTGTACGTCTAACTATGACTGTGAATGTTTAATGTTGATGAACAAGGGTGTATATGTGTTGGTTTGATGAAACAAAGTTCTATCTGGGTGTAGATAGGACCATGATAAGCCAAATTATGTGGTTAGGATGTTGTTACACCAAATTAAGAGATAAACATTCTGTAGATAGAACTCTGCATTATGACTAACTCATTTAAATTCCAACAGATTGCGATAGTTGACCTCTCAAAATGAAGAATTCATCAGATAAAAGCTAATATACCAAAATCTCAATTTTGGTAAAAAAAATGCAGATAGAACCTTATCATTATAGGGCGACGAATGGAGACTGTATATCAAATACTCGAGTGCCATTATTTTCAGCCGACGAACGTGGTAGATGGTGGGTGGTCGGTTCAGCTTGGACAGGAACCGAAAAAGACAATAACGACAAATCACAAGATTCAACCAAACCCGAGGGATTCTCCTCTAAACTGTTGAAACTTGCGAAAAAACAGAGAATGAACACAGATGTGAGGAGGAACATATTTTGTATCATCATGTCCGCCGAGGTAATTTGCCTTCTAGTTGAGATTGTCTGATTTTTTTATTTTCTTCAAGAAATCAAATTGATGACAAAATTTGGTATTTGGTTAATGCATATCCATTCATTTGATTTCTTGTTAGGTCAGATGTAAAAGTTGTTGCTGTTTTGTTTTGTAAAATACAAATCTACTTGAATTAGTCAAATGGTGGATTTATGCACACTGTTTTTCATTGATATGTAGCTTTCATTAACCGTCGTTAAATTTATTTTCATTAAGGACTTTGGTGCCTTCATGCACTACCCTCGGCACTACCATTTTCAACCTTGAACTCTTCTTCATGATCCAAACATAGTCCTCAGCGTACTTGTAGCCTGATGAAAATATTGGTGTTGTAATCTCCACAGCTCACATTATTATAATTATATTAATTTGTTCATTTGAAGAGGCCTCTAGAATTTTGTGAATTTTCAACCTTACTTCAAAAAAATTAGGAGAAGAAATTGTTTGTCTCACTTCTGACAGAATCGCGCCTACGCACGTCACACTTTTACTTGTATTTGTATCGTTTAGGATTTGGATCGTTTAGGCGGAGACTGACACTTGCCGCTTTTGTACATGAACACATACTTTGCTCATGTGAAGTATTAGTCCGCCAAAGGCTGAACCACCTAGAACAGGTCTATCTCACCCCTGCTGAGGTGGAAAATTCAACCGTCAGGAAAATTGTAGGCTTCATCAAAAGTCTAGGGTTGGACGACTGAAACTAGATGAGGGTGATAACAATAGATCTTCTTGGTCGCAGTGATCGAGAGGTCTCCCAGCCTATACGACCAATCTTCAATCGTTTATTATTTTTTCTTCATTCTGTTCATTTTCTATTCCATTCAACTTTGAACTAAACTAACATATTTTTTTGCCGAATGGTAGAGCAAGTGTTACATTTTGAACCCAATAGAATATTACATTATTTTATTAGGATCAAATGTGACACTTTGTTTGACAAGCGATATTTGCGTTTGCGAGGCGAAGCGACCGCGAAGCCGAGCAGTCAAACAACGTCACTTTCGATCCGAATGAAACATGCTAGTTTTTCCTAGACACCAAAAGTGATGCCTAGCAACACACATACTAATCATTTTATCATGTCAGTAAGAGAAACGTCAACTTCAAGAGCTGATTTTGGAACGAAAATGGACGACTTTTGAGCCGATTGCAGAAAAAGCATGTTTTCTTCATGGCGTCTCTAAGATTTTTTCAGAATGATTTTATACACCAGGAATTTCAGACAAAATTATTCCACAAAGTTCCATAGGCTATTTTAAGATAAAACATATGAATAAGTGATTCAAAACCTAGATATCAACAAAGGAATAAAAGAACAAATAGAGAATTATGGTTATATGAGGGGTGACAGACTCATCGAGTATAAAAGTCATTTGGTAAACCTCTTCCTTATTTATGAACTGATTTTGTTGTCTAGAAGGAATGAGGACTAACTTTTCATTACTGTTTATTTTGAGTGATTGAAAATACGCCTAATACAACTGTCTCTGACTGACTGAAGTTGGTCTTTTTTATATACCAGTTGCTTTGGTTTATGGAATATTCTATTGTCTTCCATACCCTTCTATTGTTTCTTGAACATCTCCTCCCTCCCTAATTAATCCCATAAAACTGAGATGTTTATAACTAAAGCATTTCACATAAAACGATCAAGAATCTTTCATCATGGCGCTATATTGGATTTTCGTAAATATGCTGTTATAGATGTTGGGATGTTCGAGAAAAATCTGGATCTATATGTATTATTTTTTAAATATTTTGAAACTTAAGGAAAATTTGTTGCAGGATTATATGGATGCATTTGAGAAAATCGTCAAACTAGGACTGAAAAATCAGCTAGAAAGGGAAATTATCAATGTAATATTACATTGTTGCCTACAAGAAAAGCAATACAACCCTTATTATGGCCATTTAGCACAAAAGTTCTGTGATTTTGACCGAAAGTATCAGGTAGGTTTCAAAATCTGATGCACAAATGACTGTTAATCAAAATTGAATTCTAGATGACAATCAAATATTCAGTGTGGGATAAATTGAAAACCTTAACTGACCACTCTGGATCACAGTTATCAAATCTTGCAAAGTTATTGATACATTTGTTCATGGAAAAAGGCTTGCCAATATCAACACTCAAGGTAATTATTATTTTGAGTTGAGAGTTTGATTTCTCAAACTTTTTCTTCCAATGTAAGATGATGATGAAAAGATTTCTTCAGCTTTTCCATGACATTTTTTTATTTTGATCCATGAGTGACGACCCAGTAACCTTGTTTTTTTTTCAAAAAACAAAGAAGAAATATATGTTAGGAACTTCATGAGTTATTCTAGATATTTCATTTTCAGATTGTACAATTTGGTGAACTGGACAAAATCACATTGAGATTTATGAGGCAAATTCTGCTTGGTATTTTGCTACATCCAGATGTGGAATCATGTTTATCCATTTTCTCTAAAGTGTCTCAATCTGATAAGTTGAAGCTTTTTAGGGAAAGTTTGAGATTGTTTATACACCATTTCCTGTTGAGTAACCTCAAATCGGATAAAATTCCCGAAGATCATAAAGAATTGTTGGAGAGTAGAGCGAAAATTGTAGAAAGGGTACTGATCTCCAAAGATTTTAGGGTGACTTAATTTTTTGTGTGACGTTTTTTTCAGTCTTGAGGGTCGGTTGCATAAAGCTCTTTTTTAACTTAACAAGGAATCAATCAACCCTAAAGGCTATATAGTTGCCTGAAGCATTTGACAGATGATTAAATATTTTTTAGTATTCATTTATATATTCATGGTGATATTTGACTTATAGTTGCTGGGTCAGGAGAGTTGATTCCTTGGTAAGTTGAAAGAGAGGTTCAAGCAAATGGCCCTAGTTAGATTGCAATAATTAGGTGTAAAATAAATTTGTTTAAGTTTTTTGCTGGTTTACATTCATTTAATATGTTTTACCATTTGATATCCCATTACAATTCATATAATTTACTGGGGCCATTAAGTATTTGATGAAAATCCATTGAGATAAAATCCCTAAAAACATAACATGTTTTGCCTTCAAGGGTAGCTTCTGCTGGCGTTAAACTCATACATGATAGGAATTAGAATAGTGGTAATCTCATATATATTTCAAGGAATAAAAAGTAAGATACATTGAGCAATAAACCTTCATTGTTTTGTCAAAACCCAATATTGATTATACAGTGTTGAAGGTATATCAACAGGTGATGCTATTTGAAATTCAAAATGAGAATGTTTCAATAATTTCATAATTACATTTTTTGCACCTTATCATTCAGTATTGATCCTGATCCATCTCTGCATAGGTACATACCTATTTGTTCAAGTCAGTGGCGGCTCCTCAGAGGAGGCAACGGAGGCTGGGCCTCCTCAGAGATTTTCCTTAAAGTAATATTATTTATACTTTCTCAATAAAAGAACACATACATGGATTTTGATTTTATTTCCTGTTTTTAGTTGAATACTTTTTGGTGAACCCATTCAGTGCTTTGTCTTATGAAGATAAATGGATTGTGAAAATTAAACGTCAGACACTGGAATTAAAAAATCTGATTGTAACAGGTAACAAACAAAATGGTATGTTGAATTCTGATGATTATAAAAAAAATATCTGGTTGATGGGATCTGAGGTAAGGAATAAGCTATTTTATTGGTACTGCATATTATTTTCAACCTCATGTTGGGGGCAATTAGGATATAATGATTTGAAAAATTTGCCTTGTGGATTGGATAGACACTGCAAATCACAGGAACACATATCTTCAAGTATTAAGTTCAGGTTAACTGGTAAACAGAATGTCATTAAGCTATGGATTTGGGTGAGTAGAGTTGTTTTTCACAATAAATCTCATATCATTCAGCCTCCTTTGTCATGAAAGTCAGGTGCCGCCACTGGTTCAAGTACCTATGTCAAAAGATTATTCAATTCACATATACAGATATTCATTTGGCAAATGATAATTTCAATGTGCCATAGATGACATTGTCTTTGACAATATTGGTCAACTAGAATATTTGCAGTATTCTTGTTTCAACATTTCACAGACCACTATTTGTTGCACCTGCATTAACCATTTCTGCTAAATCCCCTGTGCTGTTCATTTCCTTCAGTCTTATCCTTATGAGTTCAGCAATTGCTTTTTGTGTCTGTCTTTCTAACTTGGCCAGTTTCTTAGCTACATCTCTCTTCAGGTCCCAATCAGGTTTTCTAGGAGCCAATGAAGTAACATCCAGTTGATCTATAACTGGTTCTGATTTCACTGATTCTAACTGTTTTGCAACTTCAGATGTTACATCTCCAGGCTTTGCAAGATCTGCTACAAATTCTTGTAGTTTTTCATGTGATGGCTTGTAGCTTCGAAAACTTGGTTTTGGTAAAGGAGCAGCTTCTTTGTTGGAATTATTTTCCGTGGGATCATGTCCTTCTCTTTTTCTTTTGAGTGCTTTTACTTTCTCTCTTCTCTTGAGAGCCTCATCTTCTAAATGACCAACATCCATTGTATTATTTGTCATGATGATGGAAAACCTGCTTGGGTGTGTGTCCAACAATAATAATTAATTCTGGTATTCCTGGTTAATAACTTGGACTTTCTTGGACCACTCGGACAAGTTATGAAATGAAAACAAGTCCTTGTTTACTTTTCAATTTAACCTTTACCTTAGAGATGACGCTTCTTTTTTATTCGTTTTGTTATCTTGGTACTGGGGAATGAAGTTCTCTACCCAGTTAGGTCCATAACTTCTACTTCTTGGTTTTAATCATTGTTTTAACTGTTCACATGCTCTCTTTTTGTTACTTGTACTTGACCTTGACAAGTAATGAAACAAGAAAGAAGTAGGAGCATTAGAAGAGATTTAACCTCAATTTTCGATTAATGGATTGCTTATTTTCTATTTCACATCAGCCAGTTTGTACCACATTGTACCATGAATTCGAAACATGATTTTCGATTAATCTTTGATGTTATTAATTGTTACGTCATTAATATCCAGTAAGTTTTCTCTAACAACTGGAATATTGCATGGAGGTTGTCTAGTGATTTAATATTTATTGTCATATTTTAGAATACGTCATCCAAACAAAATGTACAAATTGTGATGTTATACAACTCTAGAGCGATAGAAATATGCATTGTATACCTGCCAGTATAACAAAAAGATGTTTAGGCCAAAGATGTTTCAGTTTTTACACAGCAGAAAATGTATTTAGTGAAGAAAACATGAAAAGAACAATGGCAAAATTTGCTAGTATCAAACCTGTCAGAATACACACACATCAGCCTGCAAAAAAAGCAGCAGTGTTAATTCCCCTTTGTGAAGTTGAAGAAAAGGTATCCCTGTTATATACTCTGAGAGCTTCACATTTGAAGTCTCACAGGGGACAGGTGAGCTTTCCAGGGGGAATGCAAGATGTTTCAGACAGAAGTCTGGAAGACACTGCTCTTAGAGAAACCAAAGAAGAATTAGGAATTGATCCTGAACAAATTGAAATTTGGGGAAGTGGTAATCTGATAGTAACAAAGGGACAAACCTGTGTGATGCCTGTTATAGGAAGAATAAAACAGGATCTGAGGCTTGAAGACTTAGATATCAATCCAATGGAGGTTGAGGAGGTATTCACAATACCTCTGGAGGATCTTTGCAACCCTGCTTATATTGGCTACACTCAATTCAGGAATTCTTGGTCTCTACCTGTATTTATGGGTGGTAAGAGAAGGATTTGGGGTCTCACTGCATTGATGACTAATATGTGTTTGAGTTCACTCCTTCCACAAAAAGCATATTCCCATAGAATCAAACATTCCCAGCCAGTGAAAATGGCTAAATCATTATTTTCATAATGGGTAATCCAAGGAAAAAATCTTATGTAACTATAAGATTTGGATTGTAAATTTTATCAAATGGACAGTATCTGATAAAATTACTATATTTTATCAATCAGTATAGTTGTGGAAAAATCCTTGTTTGTTTTTAATAAATGCTGTTTTATTTCTGTGTATGTCATGATGTTTTTGAATTACAACTAATTTGATGATGATGCATTATAATGAAAGTAATTTTGCAATGCCTATGTTGCCAGTGTCTATCAGTATCTATCAATTTATCTTCATAAGACAAAGCACTGAATGGGTTCACCAAAAAGTATTCCACTAAATTGCAATCGTTCAAAACACTCATTTTTCAGAAATTTAAAGAGCCCCTAACCATTAATCTAACATAAACAATGCACTCGCGTTTGATTCGCGAAGCGAAGCGACACGACAAACACGTGGTATTCGGGCATTTGCATTGCGCGCGTAGGTTGCGTGATGTGAAGGAGTCTAGCCTCCTATAGATGTTGCCAAGTTGAATATTTTACGCGTGATTTGCAGACTTCAACGTGTGATGCGTGGGCAAGCACTGTTGTCAATTCAAAAATATTTACCTAAAAACAGTAAATGAAATCAAAATCCATGTATTTTGGTGTCCTTTTAATGAGAAAGTATAGATAATATTAGTCTAGGGAAAATCTCTGAGGAGGCTCAGCCTCCGTTGCCTCCTCTGAGGAGCCGCCACTGATTTGTACTCCATCAGGAATTATATGCAAACAGCTAAGCTGAGCTGCATCACAGATTTCTTCCTGGTTTCCAATAAAATACAGGCTTACCAATATTTTACATTTTTATTAAGTTGTCCTCTGGGATAAACCCATAACTCATCTGATACAATAAAAAATATAAAGAACACCTAGAAAATCTAATAAAAAATTATTCCAATACAAGAAAAAAAAACGAAACGTTTTGTATTTTATTAAAACAAATGCAGAGGCTTATATTAATCATTGTTACATAATAAAGTAGTATAGTTCAAAAAGTGAAAATCATGGAAAATAGGTATAATTATGTCAACAAAATTAACTTTGATCAAGAACCAAAAAAGCATATGTACAAGAAATAACTGGTATATATAAATATTTTCTGATCACATTGTATAAAACAATTTTTACATACATAATTTTATGTAATACTAATTATAATTTCCAAGAATCAGTTAAAGGAATAAGTTGAAATGCTCCTTCCTTTGACTAGGTCTATAAAAATAGCATAAGCAGCTTAGAGGTCGATTTTGTGAGAAGTAAAAGTGTTCATGCAGAATACTGTACAGAATAAGTTTTGAAATACTGAAAAGAGAATGTCCCTAGCACATAAAATACTTCAGCTAATAACAATGAAGCCTCATAATATATAAAAAAAAACATATAACTATTCCAACAATTTTTGTTTAGTGAAAAAATCACATAGAAAGGGCCGGATTATCCATAAGGCGGTTTAGGCAACTGTCTAGAGCAGGCGCAGCGATGGGGGTTTTAGGGGTTGACCCCCCCCCTCCGAGAACCAGACGCGAACTAGAAGTTATATTCTCGGTTTTTTAATACTCTCCCTGGTTGTTTTCTAAACCCCCCCCCCTTACACAACATTCTGGCTGCGCTACTGGCCTAGGGACCCCGCATCGACCCAGAAAAAAAAAACATTTCATGGAATGAATCATTATTTGAAACTCTGTATACTTCCTCATTCCTCAATATCATTCTTTTTTCCACGCCGGCCCCAAGAATTGTATTGTCTCGGGGCCCTGATAGGGTTAATCCGGCCCTGCACATAGAAGCAGTTTCAATGTTTTTCAAAATGTAACAATATCAACATCTCTCTCACACTTACTCTTGTTACTTTGTTCCAAATAGACAAAAAAACCGTCAATTTATTTGTTCATGTTCACAAATCGACCTCATGATGAAATTTGCCCTAAAGTTCTACAAAAAAAGGAAAGTCAATCAATAACCCATTCCCATGTCATGATTCAAATGGCACCTTGCTGAATATTTTACTAGAGAAGTCAATTTTCAAATGGTTTTCACCAGTGTATACTTATTGACATATGACATTGAAAAAGTTGTTCACTAGTAAAGTTCACCCTATGGTGTATATTCAAGGATATCCTAAGCTTGAATTTTGTAATGTAAATGTCATATTCCTAGTTTTTCACCAGTGTATATACTCTACAGTTATATCAAATCATCTATTATATAAATGTCATATTCCAAGTGCTTCTCATCAGTGCATACCCTATAAAGTTAGATCAAACCAACCTTTGTTTGAAAATTTGTCATTCAAATGGTTGTTCTTTGGTGTGAAATTCAAGCTGTTCATAAAAAATTCCCTATAATTTTGTCCTGTAAATCCCAGACAAATATACTTATTTTAGAATATTCTAATAGTGTACACCTAGTGTATACTAGATCAAACCACCGTTCAGAAGAATGCAAGCGAATTTCTTAATTTTTTTCTGAGAAGTGTAAAACTATAGGAAGACGATTTTCAAAGGATGATATTTTTCATGTTGACAACGGGGGCAGATTCATTTCCGAAAAGTCCAAAGATAAGTAGAAATTTGAGTCTGACAGGCTATTGGATTTTTCTTGTAGATTCTCTGATAGAAACATTTTTCTGATTTGCCCTACTACAGGTATATTGAAATAACACTCAGATTTTTCTTTTATAGAAACGAGGAGAGAAAACTTCAAATAATGAAGCAAACTGACAGTATTCAATTTTCGTTTTGTATTGGTTATTTTTGGTTGTTTGTTTTGATATGAACATTCATTCATGTTGAAATGAGCGGAATCCTCAATTCAAAACTTTTTGGGAGACCCTGATTCCTGACGTTAACGTTCATGGCAGCACTTTGACTCTCTGATGAACTGCACCTTGAATCCTTCACATGGAAATGGGTCTTTGATTGTGTTGATTCAAAGGGAAACAAACCACACCCACCTAGGAGCTCTCCAGCACGGGAATGGCCGTCGAGTAGACGGGCGTCTCGAGCTCGATGCGCGCCGTCGTGCGCAGCCCCAGCTGGTTCTTGATGTGGCTGATGATGTCCTGGTCGGCGGGGCAGCTCTGCACGAACGCCTCCAGCTCGTACATGTTGGCCATGTACGTCCAGAGGGCGGTGAGCGTCGGCGGGATCTCGAATTTGCGGAAGGCTTTCGCGCCGATGCGGATGTGCTGCAGTCTGAAACCGGGAAAATTCGAATGACCATGACTTTTGGTACGGATGCATTTTTAGACCAATAAGAACGATTCTGTAGCGATCAATTCCTATATCGAATTTGTGGAAGGCTTTTGCGCCGATGCGGATGTGCTGCAGTCTGAAACGGGGAAAATTCGAATGACCGTGACTTTTGGTACGGATGCACTTTTAGACCAATAAGAACGATTCTATAGCGGTCAATTCCAACATCGAATTTGCGGAAGGCTTTGGCGCCGATGCGGATGTGCTGCAGTCTGAAACGGGGAAAATTCGAATGACCATGACTTTTGGTACGGATGCATTTTTAGACCAATATGAACGATTCTATAGCTGTCAATTCCTACATCGAATTTGTGGAAGCCCGGATACAAAATTAATGTGAGATCAACGGATGTGGAAAGGGCATCGGGCAAGGGTTTGAATAAAATCAGGTAAGAACACAAAAAAGTTTGCTTCATTTTGGTCTAGGAGAGCTAAGACCGTTGAAAACTGTGGGTTTAACAAATCATTTCTCTGGAGAACAAAATCTGGAATCTCCACATCCTCATCAGCAAGATATACAAATTATTGCTTTATATTTCAATTCCACGAACGCCTTTAGCTCGTATACATTATTGTTTATAATAGGGATATATACAACAAAACATACATATAAAACATAATAAATCGAAACAATAATAATTGCACAATTATTGTTTTTTCTAAAAAAAAGAATTATAATAAAATATAAAATGAAAATATCATAATCCATTACAAGTAATCAAATTGTGAATGATTAGTACTATTAAAGTTTACTGAGCAGATATTTCTTTAATTTCATTTCAAATTTTTCTGCTTCTTCTATATTTTTCAACTCATTAGGTAAGGAGTTATACAAAATTATTCCATTATGGAATATTGATTGTTTACCAAAATTTGACTTATAATTATTTGCTATCAATATATTGAATTGCCTTGTTTCATGGGCGTGAATCATATTAACTTCATTAAAATTCAAATTCGATATTTTCAATTCCTTCCTGACAAAATGAATAAAACAACAAATTATATATGTTTTTTATGTGTTTATAAATTCCACTGTTCATAAGTAATATTATGATTGAGGTAATAATCAGTTGAGAATTGGTTTGTTTTTTATCACTGTCCAAAGAATTATATTATATTTATAATGGACATATAGACATTATGAGAAAATATATATCAGTAAAGTGCAAAGAACAAACTCTCATATGTTCAAACACTTTTTTTTAATCTTCAAATTATGAATCCACTCCTTCTTCTATCCATCATATTTATTAGAATGAAAAATGCTATTTTTTCTGCAACCGAAAGAATTAACTAAAATGAATATAAGTGCAGTAACCCCAATGTGGATGAATTATAATAATATGAGTAAGTAGATAGAAGCAAGACCTCAAGACTACTTTACTTCGTTACAATTTGTTTTGACAAGCATCATGTCATCAAACACTACAGACACGAATTCAATACTACCTGTAACGTGGATGCTGTGCCATATGTATGCAATGCAACAAATAATCCATGTGGTGACAATATTTCACCTTTATTTACAGAACAGGTTTATTGAATTTTCAAGGATGTTCAAATTGTAGTTTCATTAAAAATACAACCAAAGAGTGGCCTATTTGTGTATTCTATTGACGTCATCGATGAATTCATTTGGACCAGGTGTCAGCCCTAACAGCCAATCCCCCGAAAGTGCCAGGAAGAAGTGGGAGTAGGTTAGTGAGCAATACTGAGCATATCAACAATAATATTAGCGATTACTGATTACTCTCCATATTCCACTGAGTTTGGCTCGGTAATCAAATTAAGATAAACAATATCGTTGCATGAGGCAAAAAGGTAATGCTGGTCGTGATTATTCAAAAACAAGTTGTGAAATCAATCAGATCCCAATAATAACAAATGAGCTAAGTAGGTACATATCGAGGAAGAATGTGAATCTTGAAGGCTCTCCTGATCAAAACAAAAACACTCAACTATATGGTGTTTATATCTCCAGCATGTGATGCAAATTCTGCCGAAATTAGAAACAGATCAGGTATGCGTCCCAACCCAAATAACCAACCGTAACAATGTTGTTTATTCCTGATGACTTAGTACATCCATTTTAGTTCCTAGCAACATACCTATGTTTGTGTCAGTAATAAAAACGTCAATTCAAGAGCTAATATTGGTACTATAATGGACGATCTTTGTGTCGGCTGCAGACATGGTTTTTCTCTTTCTGCTGAACAATGTAATCAAGTATTATTTGTGTCATATAATATAATCATTGAGCTACACAAAGCAAAAAAATGCACAAAAACAGGGACACACGCTGTTATGTTCTGATACACATTATTTAGGAAGGGATGTTCTTGGTCTTTCACACTTTCCACGAAAGAAAAATGTGTTCCGAAGACATGTTGACACATTATGCCATACGATACCAATTGAATGGTAGATCTCAAAACCCTACTTGTGCCACCCCTCAAGCTGAGTCAAATCTTCGGCTCTTCGATGTCTTTGATGTCGTCATTCTGAACATATTTCCGTCCCATGATAACGAGTTTAAACAAAGTGCATAAATAAAGGGTCCTCTTCGCGAATATCCAAAAGTGTGCGATTTACAATTGATCTAAGTGGTAGAGCATCAATTTCTGACAATATTTTGTCCTGGCGAAATTGAATATCCGATGGACTATAATGGGCGTGTACACCTTAGTAGAACTTTTAACTCAAACCATGTTTATAAGGATCCTTTTATACATAAATAATGATTGACGACATAATTCGATCGAAAAATTAACTGGAATGTTTTATTTTTGGACATAAATTATAGAACCTTCTGAAAACGGACCCTCTTATGACGTAGAAACCTCATCTCGCCATAATTAAAAGAGAATACCAAACGCCCAACGGAGACTGAGGCAACTGATATTAATTCTTTCAACTGTGATCTCGCGCTAATTCACTCTGTCAGAAATCATGTATCATTCATCTCTGTCTGGAATAATCTTGTTTCAGTATTAGGGTTTTGATGTCACATCATCGCCTCGTTTTCAGAGGTCCGAAAATTCGGGATTTCAATAATTTTTTATAAAACGTAGGGAGCCCACAGCAAGAAACGGTTTGCGGTGGTGATCTAGTGTGGGTGAGTTCTATCGAATTATGAAATAAAAATTGTTTGTAATATAAGCCCATTGACTGTGGGTTCGATCGGGTTTGATAAAACTCAGTTTTCACATGCCTATGTGACATAAAAATCGTTATCATGGGCTGGCGAACAGATATGGTGCCGATTTTCATAAAAATGATGAGGCACATGTTTTTGAAGATTCTTCAAACAAATAGCTCAAAAATATCTCAGGAATTCTTGAGTTAACACTATTTTAAGACTAACGCAATATAGGTACTAACTAACCTTGGCATCAGTTCGCAGTCAAAACAAGACATAGTATCACCGGTAAGGAACCTGGTGCCTCTTTTGGCCATGAAGTCGTTGATGCGTTCAAGATGAGAAAGAAGAGGCTGTTGGCAGTCTGTCGTGTCGGGTGACTCGAATTTCCTCACATACTTTCTGAATTTTGTATATAGGTTCTCGATCAATGTGGCTACTTCTTTGTCCTGCAAAAAAAATCTGTATGTACCACTTGGAATCTTTCATTTGGTTTAATTTATTGTATTTGTATGTATGGCGTAATATGTCAAATGTCGAGGCAACAAGCAACTCTAATCAAAACCAAATGATTTTTAATCATGATATTTTTATATCAACCAGAATTGATTGTTAATCATTTTGCCCAATTAGAATCCAATTATCAATTCGAATTATTTATCTGTTTATTTTTACCTACTTTCGCTCACATGATTGGTGAACCGCGATAAAAGAGGATAGAGTACTATAGCGAGAGTTCCTGGTTGAAAATTCTAGTCATGCAAGAAATTCAAATTTGCTGCATGAATGGTGTATTTACAATGACTAATTTGTCATTGTTTTCTTGGGTAAAACATATGAAAAGCTTCAGAACAGAGATAAACAAAATACAATATATTATTATCTCATACACATTTAATCATACAAGAGTATACACTGAATGAAAACTAATAAAGAATTAGCGATTTCCACAATTTAGATCAAGATGCTGGGCTTTAGACTGATCTCTGTATACAGGGTGACCGGGTATACCCCCTTTTCTCCTTTGTTTTTCAAGCTATGCGAGGTGTTCTTGAAATAAGTGCACATATTCAGCACATCAATGTGATACAGTCTAACGAATATTCCCATGATATAATATTTATTCAATTCTTCTATTTAACCAGAAATTTCATCCCGATAATTGAACAAAAAAAAATCAAGTACGCCACTTTAAAACAATTTGAAAGATTTAACTTTGCGTGATTGTGCCTTCCGCACAAAAATTTCAACAAAGGTGACGTCAGAATTGCTACAGTGTAGACCTTTGGATTGAAGAAAGGGTCTAACCCCAAATTTTAGTTTGATCCCTATATTTTTTTCTTTGTGCCATTCGATAGCATATGTCGAGCTTTCTCAGGGTTTGTAATATTTGTACTTATTTCAATGCCACCCTGTATATTTCTGAAATTTGGGACATCGAATGTGCTCACTAGAGAGCACTTTCTCACATTTCAGGATTTTTTTTGCATCTTCCATAATCAATTAGGGATTATCATAACGAATTCAATGATACTCAATGGAATTGATGACGCAATATCGAAGCTTCTTTCTTTGTCACACTCATTGGGCATATGGAAATTTTGAATGCGAATATCTCCGTAATAGTATGAAATGACCCAATCAAACCCGGTATCCCGATAATGGAATAGAATACAGTGTGTCCCATTTGAGAATTGAAAGTTAAATTTCATTTCCAGTAAAACCGGAAAATAAGAAAAAGAAACTGAAATGTGAAAGAGTGGCCTCTAGTGAGCATATTCCATGTTCCAAATTCCAAAAATATAGCTCGAAAAACAAAGGAGAAGAAGGGGGTATACTATGAGTCTGTCACCCGGTATACAATGATATTTCAACGATGAGCTTTAATTAAAGGTTTCTGGCAAACCAGGGATCTGGCATGATATACGTCAATATTTTGGACGATGCGTCGTTGCCACTTCTACTAGAAACTATTTATCTTGTTAGATTACTATGTATCTGTTCATTGAAATCAAAATTTCATCTGATTTCATCTGTGAATGTTATTTAGATAGGAAAGATAAAAATTGCGATACTTTTTGGGATATCCTATCAGTTCAAGAACACTGAAGTACTTTCTTCCTCAAGTTAAAGAAAATCAGCACAATCCGGCGACATTGATATGACTGACACGTGATTACGCGATGTCTCCACTAGGGATGCCAATCTTTGAAAAAAGGATCGATTCCTGGAATCGATCTAGATCGAAAAAGAAAAATCGATCCATAAAAAAATCGAAAGGCAAATAATCCATTTTCAATAAAATCGATCCTCGATTAGATCATAGGAAATTTTCAACAATATACATGAATAAGTGTGAAAAAGATCTTGACTCCTGAAAATATTACCATTGAAGATCACAAATTACCTACTAACTTGACAGAATATTGATAATTCCTCATTTTATTTGGATAGCTATCGTAGTTGAGTGAAAAAAACTTGTTTCGCATTATAGTCAAATATGTTATTCACTGTGCATTTTTGTTTGATTCGATTTTATGTGAAAAAAATCGATTCCCCTGATCGAACAGAAGAAGATCGATCTATAATAATCGATTTTTTCATACGAAAAGATCGATCTTAAAAAAATCGATTCGAGATTGCCACCCCTCTAGTCTCCACCACTATTCCATTTTATGACGCAGACTCCGCAGACGCAAGTCCCTTCTTACCTGTATAAACAAGTTGTGCCCGCCGGGCACGTTCTTCATGATGTGCCGCTCGATCTTCTCGTTCTCCAAGATGGCCATGCCGCGATCGATCAGGATCGGGGGCGGCGTCGCCTCGAAGTTGGTGCGAAAGTCGGGCGGCGGCTTCTGCATGTCGACGGTGGTCACCTTCAGAGGGAAAATCGGGATGTTACGAATGGGTTTCTCTATCGCAGATAGAACATCATAATTGGCTATAACTTGCTTTCACGTTAGCCCAATAGATTGTCCCAAGCAGGCATGGGAAAGATATAGATATATCGATAAAAATATACACTCACCGGCAAAATACACCGGCCACCAAAAAATTTGCCCAAATTGTTCAGCCTGTAACTTTTTTAATCCTTTTCCGATTTTTGTGAAATCTCGATCGAATCGTAGATTAATGTTCCGGAATGTTAGCCTGAATATTAATTTTCCTGAAAAACTGATGACCTGATCATTATACAGGGAAAAACCAAAGTTACTCTTTCACCCTATACTTATCAACGCCCTGTGGCAAAATTGCGTGATTGAACATGGCTTCATTATGCTTCGGATTGAAGTGTGATCACTTCTTAACACAAAAGTTTTTGATTCAAGTCAATATCTTATTCTTGAAAGAAGATACGAGTGTTTTAAGGAAGTATGGTGTTTTTCAACTTTTTTTACCAAAAATCAGAACTCACATGAACTTATCGATTAACAACTTCAAGGATTAATATCACATATTTCTACCTTACTTTCTTAGCACTCACCGGAAAATCAATTACAAAAAACAAACAAGAAGCAGACCTGTAGTCAATAACTAGTATGCTCTCCTCGATATTGAATCACAGCATTCAACCGAAGTGGCATCGAATTGATCGAATTACTCAAGTTTTTTTTTTGTTTTGTTCTATCCGTCATTCGGTTGCCCCCTTACGAGCAACCCTCAAAAGTCTTCGAAAGTCTTGTGCGAGCAAGGAATGACGGGGGCCTTACCTTTTAACGTGTGATCCCAAACACTTTCTTGGGCCATCAGAAAAATTTCTGCAGTCGACGGGGATCGAACCCACGACCGGCAAGCGAATGCGAATTAGAATATAGACACTCTGTCCGCACGGCTACCTGGCAGAAGAATTGCCTAAAATCCTCCTTGAAGGGCGAATCGTAGCTCTTGAAGAGTATCTGACAAGGCTGGGCGAAGGCGAATGAGCCTCTAGAGGTCACCCCTGAGATAGGTAGATAGGTTCTGAATTATTGTTATTGAAGATAAAAAAAATCTATACTTTCTTGAAACACTTGTATCTTCTCTCAAAAAGGAGATACTGACGTTATTCAAGAACCGTTGTATGAAGAAGGAACAAAAGAGGATCACACTTCAATTTAAAACATGATGAAGCATTGAAGCAGAAGGATGGAGAATGGTTCTGAATTATTGTAAATTAAGAATCCATACTCTCTTGAAACACTTGTATCTTCTGTTAAAAAATGGTTATCGACGTGAATAAAAAACCATAATGTAGAGAAGAGATCACTTTTCAATCTAAAACATAATGAAGCTAAGTTAAACCACTCACCTTTCCCACAGGGCGTTAAGAAGTTAAGGGTGCAAATATAACTTTTGTTTTTCCCTGTATAATGATCGAGTCATCAGATTTTCTTAGGAACTAATATTTGGGCTAACATTTGGAAACATGAATCTACGATTTGGTCGAAATTTCACCAAAATCGGACCAGAATTGAAAAAGTTACAGAGCAAACAATTTGACTAAATTATTTGGTGGCCGGTTTTCTTTGCCGGTGAGTGTAGATATATCGAATTACGAAATATCATTTCAAAAACATCGATAACTATCTATAATTATCGATAGATCGATAATTGTCAAATTTTTTCTCTATAAATTTATTATTTTTGTCGCCTTCGTGATATCTAGACAAGTTATAATAATTTCAAAATCAATTTTTTCAATCTTCTTTGTTAGGTTTGTTCAGGCATGAAAATATATTGCGTAGGTAGGTAGTTTTAATGCTATTTAATTATTTAAAAGGAATATTCTCAGATATAATTATGAACATAAAAAAATGGATATATGTACAGTGTGTCTCACTTCTGATGGAAACACCCCTGATCACAAAATCGGTTACTGTGCGATAAACGGTTCCAGAAGTATTCACAAAAAACGATATTTTTTTTCAAATTTCAACACCCTGTATCTCGAAAATAGTACATTTTAGAGGTTAAGTTAATTGAAACTTTTTTTTATAACTATAACACTTTGAGATGGATGGATGACTTTTTTAATATTTTTGGACGAGCTATGACATCCTGAAGTCCTGCGCATATATTATGGAACACCTTGTATATAGCCTATTTAGGTACACTCACCTCAGTACAAAGTCTTGCTTCTGAAAATCTTCTATAAACTCAAGTATATTATTGTTGTAATGCATTTTCCTTGGATTTTTTCTAGTTATTATTAAAAACAATAAAAACTACCCATCTTTTTAATCAGAGTAATAACTTTCAACGAATTTATTTCTGATATTTTCTAAATACTATACACATAGAAACATTTTGATATCAACTACCATAATAATTTTTTGAATCTAGTTCCAATTTGCTTATAATGAATGATAATAGTGCATCATGACACATGCAGTTACTATTATTTTTCAGTTCACTAGTTCAGACTTCAGGTGGTTGACTATGAATTTTTGTGACTCAATTTTTTTTTCATACGATAACGACAAATTTCATTTTGGTAGGTAAATTGGCGACAAATTACCAACGAATTATGTGAATATTGTGTTTAAAACACTCATACCTACGGAGTGGCTCTGCTAGGTTTATATGAAGATAAAAAAAACGATGATCAACGAATTTTCAGTTCTGACAATAAAGTTCATAGACCCCTATGAATTTGCTTGCAATTTGCTTTATAACAAATCATGGTTTTTGCTAGGTCAACCGTTGATGTAGCAAAACCAAATTTTTTATTTTGTCAACCCTGACCTTGAGGCTGATGGTCTTCAACTCGGCCAGCAGGTACAGCTCCATGAAGTACTCTTGGCAGAAGAGGCAAGCCCCCTTACGGCGACCGTCGATCGTCGACGCCTGAAAAAAAAACAGGAATTTACTATCACTGTCATTTCAATGATCCAAAAATATAGACCGAAAGCAATGAATTAAGCTGAATATTGGAAATGTAGCATGTTGGTAAAATTGAAACTAGTGTACGACGAAACACTGTGTCAGGAACAAAATATACCGGGTGTTCCTCAATGACATCCTGATATTCAAGGGGGTGATTGTTGAACATATAGCTTTTCTTGATGGCTAAATTCATTCAGTATCAACTAGAATATGTTTTATGTATAAAATTAAATTACTCTTTATAGCATTGTGGAAAATTTGGAAATATGCATTCGTTGCTCACTTTAAAGTAGACTATAAACAATCATATCCTCCTAACGGTGCCACTACATCAAAAAAATGCACTTTGATTCATAGAAGATACCAAATTTCATGAAGATGTCTACAATATTATCCCAGTTATTAATAAAAAACTATCCGGCGTTGATAATGAAGTTATGACAAAACTGAAGAATAATCTTCATGGCAACTTTTGATGCTATTCAATTTGGCATCATCGATTTTCTGATTCAACGTTTCGTCTTCGAGCAAGCATCATCAACTTTTTCCAAATACGGCACTGAAAACTTATCAGATTCGAATAGCCCTTTCCATCCTAACGATATGCGTTTTGAGCATATTTTGGCTATCATTGAGTAATTTTTGGAACGCGGACCTGAATTTTTAATATAATAATAATGATGATATAATAAATAAGTTCTTTATTTTCTCAATTTAGTTTTCGTTTGCACACCAACAGCATGGTAATACCACAGTTAGAAGAATACAAAAAGTCTTTTTCCTACGAGCGTGCGCAAAGTAGTACTTTTCCGCACTCATTTGCGTGCACAAAGTAATACTTTTCCGCACTCAGTGCGGATATGGGTGTTATTCGCACGGCGTGCGGATGAGTAAAACTACCCAAAAATCTCACTGGTATGGAACCTTCATATTCATTTTAGTTGCTGTAGACTATTGTATGTGCTATAAGAAGCGGTTATCTCTGTTACTTTTCAACCGTTCTTCCCTATGTTTAGTATGTTTGTATGTCACCTCAATATACATATTAGAAACAAATGATTTAATTTTCTATCATTATATTTTATTGAAATGTAATTCTTTGTTGTTTAACTTTTTCTATCAAGTTTAACTAAAAATTATTCAATAAATTGTAATTTAAGCAGGGTTGGAATAAGTCATGACTTTTATAAAAAAGTCAACATAGTCCGACTTTTTGAATTAAGTCAGACTTTTTTGAATTAATTCATTTGAAAAAAAAACAAACAAATTTCATTTACCCAAAGCGAAATAGAAAAAAGAAACAAATAAACTATGTTTTTATTCCCTTCAGAAATCTTGTAGAATAACATCATATGTCATTTTTTCAAAACAAAATTAAAAATGATGATAGAATACAAAATAATAGATACATATAGATCCAGTATCATCCATAAAGTTCGTAACACATGGAGAAAGAGTTTATACTCTTATAGTAGAATATCGAAACATTTTTTCTCGGGGATCTATTATGCATGTCTGACTACTTAAAAGTCGATTTTGACACATGTCACTTGATCACTGGTATGGCGGTAAATTGAAAAAAATACGATGGCAAAAAGTAAACTATGTGAGCATGAAATTGAATTCTATTCAACTTGTACATCTACAACATCACTACTGTCAAAAAAAAAAGAGAATTGTAACAAAATTGAAGAATATTCGAAAAAATATAGCTATTTCCAATTCTCCTCCAAAAATTGCTCGATACTGAATGTGGAATAGCAACTAAATAAGACATGTTTATGGATATTTTGTTATCTAACCCCACTTTTCGTCGCTTTATAGTATTATTTTTATGTATCACCATACCAGTGATCACATGACATGTGTCAAAATCGATTTTCAAGTTATCGGATATGCATAATGGATCGCCGAGAGAAAAAAATTCGATGCTGTGATAATAAACCTGTTCTCATATGTTATGGACTTTATGGATGATCTTGATACTGTATATATCTGTTAGTAAAAATCTTTAAATAACAAAGTCTTGCCGAAGTACGTTCGAATTTTTCAGTTTAAACTAGTTAAAATCAAAGGTAATAGTGCAATTTGTCTCATTTTTAAATAATGAATTCATGACTTTTTCGAAAAAAAGTCAATGGAATTAATTCACGAATTAAATCACTTTGCGCACTTGTCAGGAAAATAACTATTGATGAAATACAGTGCAAATTCTAATTCCGTGAAAAAGGTTTCCTGAACAATTTGCCACTAACGGAAGTTCAGGACTGTTGATTCCAGCAGGATGGTGCACCTGCACATTACTCAGGAGCTGCAAGAGATTATCTCTCAGATTCACATGGAAAGTGAAACGCCCTGGCAATCTGATTCACCCGATCTGACCCCGCCAGACTTTCTTCCTCTGGGGATATGTCGAGAAAAAAGTGGATATATCGAGAACTATGTGTATGAGCGAGTCTTCCAAACAGGAGAACTCAGAAAAGTGGTTCTTGAAGAAATGGGGTTGTACACTGAAATCGAATTCACGCCATATATCTATTTTATATTGATCAGTCCATGTATAATAGTATAGTGTACAACTAGTGCGGAAAATGAGTTATTTCATACGAGTTCGTGTAAAGATGATGAACTACGAGCCGTGGGCGAGTAATGAAATAACCAGTATCCGCACGAGTTGCCACATATTCACAAGGTCTGTTAATAAGAATCCTACTAAAAAGCTGGAAATTATTTGAATACAGGTATAATACTCATAATATCGTAGAAGACTAACTTAGGTATTTTTCAAAACTGCAAAGCATTCATGTTTTTAATATAATATAGTGTTATATTTTAAAAAAGCATACATTTACAAAATCTGACTATGCCACTGGATTCTATGTAAAAACATTTATAAGAAACAGATTTTACTTTTACTTTATATAAGTTAAAAGATATAGGGATGTCCCAAAATGTAATTTTTTGAATTTTTGTACTGAAGGTATCGCGATGACAAAAACAGCAAATTTCTATATTTGAAAATGAGTGGGATATCCCGTAAGGACATCGAAAATAAGACTGGAATGGATAACGTACAAAAGTTCAAAAAATTAAAAGATATAGACAGTTTGCTACTGAAACATTTTGAGAAATATCCACAACATATAAAAGTTGCCTTAATTTTGGCAAATAAATAACCCCGATTAGTTGTTACAATTAAGTTATTGAAAAATTTCAACAAAAACTTCTAATCTAATACAACTGCTTTGATTTGAGTTTTCATGAAACTTTGCTTAGTTTACGAGTATTAGACAGGTTTTAATTATTGATATCAATAATATAATGAAAATAAGAGTAATAACTTTATAATCCAACACACAACACAACATTCAAATATAGAATAATGGGTATATTCAAACTGAATATCTAATTCGCCATAAATTTCATTATTCCAGCTACCGTATCTGTTACTGTTACGCGCATTCCATTCATAAGTTTTAAGTTCATTATGGAAGTAGAACTCGTATTCACCCACTTTCCTTGATTTGTTTACGTACCAAACACGACTGTCTTATCTTTTACACATATACTATAATTACTATACAGGGTGTATATCAATAAATTATCGTGGTTTATCGAGCGTGTCTTGTTATTCGTCATGCGTTCACAATCATACCACCACATTTTGACTGGTATTAAAAACCATCCATATGACACTATCTGTAGGTTTTCGAGGAGGTGAAATTTTTATTCCTCTAGATTTTCTGTAAATGTTTCTAAAAATAGTATTATATCAATATAATGTGACACAGACGCATATATGGCACGCCCCTCTTATCTCCTTTGTATCTTTATTTTTCTTGGAACATCAATAAACGCACTAGACGACACTTTTTGACATAGGTGGAAAACAAATACAACTTTCGCTTTTTCTGGAAATGACATCAGCTTTGGAATTTCAAATGATTTTCATTACATTTTTCCTCGCCCCATAAGTTTCGTCGGTTTTATCTCCACACACCCTGTATTCTACAAATAAAAAAAAATATTCTGACTCATCCGAAGAAAAATGAAAGAAATCTTGAGAATAATCGTGTAAATGAGTGAAATAGTTAAGCTACTCATACTTATACCAGAAAGGTCAAGGTACAACTCGGAGGAGTACAAAATGGTTCACTTATTAAAGGAACATATTATTAATTCTGGTCGAAAACAGCTGTGTTTTTCGAAAAAACAGTATTGTATAATATGTATGACGTATTTCTCTGCTGTGCATCACAAAACCAAAGTATACCTACTTAGATTGCTCATTTTCTGTTGAATATCACAACACACTGTATAGGATCGCAGTGGCGGCTCCTCAGAGGAGGCAACGGAGGCTGAGCCTCCTCAGGGATTTTCCTTAAACCAATATTATCAATACTATCCCATTAAAAGGACACCAAAATACATGGATTTTGATTTTATTTCCTGTTTATAGTTAAATATTTTTGAATTGGCAACAGTGCTTGCCCACGCATCACACGTTGAAGTCTGCAAATCACGCGTAAAATATTCAACTTGGCAACATCTATAGGATGCATTGCGCAACCTACGCGCGCAATGCAAATGCCCGAATACACCCGAATAGCACGTGTTTGTCGTGTCGCTTCGCGAATTGCGGACAAACGCGAGTGCATTGTTTATGTTTATGTTAGGTTAATGGTTAGGGGCTCTATGAATTAATGAAAAATGAGTGTTTTAAACGATTGCGATTTAGTGGAATACTTTTTGGTGAACCCATTCAGTGCTTTGTCTTATGAAGATAAATTGATTGTGAAAAACAAACGTCCGACACCGGAATTAAAAAATTCTGATTGTAACAGCTTACAAACAAAATCGTTCGTTCAATTCTGATAATTATAAAAATATATCTGGTTGACGGGATCTGTGGTAAGGAATAAGCTATTTTGTTGGTACTGCGTATTATTTTCAACCGATAAGTCATCATGTTGGGTGCGATTAGGATATAATGATTT